CTCCTTGGTGCAATCCTCCAAATATAACGTTCCAATCTTCATAATATCTTTGATACACCTAGTTTGCTTCGACATATGGGCCAAACCAAGTACGGAATGGGGAGGGAGCTTTCCCTTCTGGCGTCGCCTGCCACTCGTCTTACGCGACGGTCACAACCCGCCGTACGTGCTTTTTGTCCGTACGTTTTTTGGGAGGCTACGTCTGCTACGTTTTTTCTGAAAACGTAGGGAAGGAGTGGCGTCGACGCACGTCACTCGCACGTCAATAGCACGGTTGCGCAAGGTGTAAGAGTGTGGTCTGCACGTTACGTCTGGCCGTGAGCTGTTGCGTGCATTGTACGTTGCGCAAGTGGTAAGTGAGTTGTACGTGCTTACAACGTACGATCTCTGTGCGATTGCAACTTTACCGTAAGGAGGCCGTACTCACACGTGCTTCTTCCGCACGGCACGTACGGGGCACGCACGTCGCTCGTACTCGCACGCACGGGTGGTGAATCCGCAGACCGCACGTAGAAAAAGTTTTACATGCACTTAACGTTCTACGGCGTGTCTGCGTGCTCCCAAATCCGTAGGATTCCGTACGAAGGTGGTACTCACCACGCACGGATGCCCTGCGTTTGCCCACGTTTTTACACGTAGACAGCAAGCAGAAGCACGTACGGCGGGTTGCGACCGTCGCTTTACAATCATAACATAGTTGGATCTCCGGTCGGACCGGTGCAATACTAGTGACTACCGAACCTTGCAAACGGTCTCATTCCGGCGCGGACGGCTGTCATTACAGCTTAACAATAAAAAAAAAACACCCGGTTTCTATCAAGCGAGGTACAGTGGTTGTAAGGTCGACTCCAGAAATAATGTGCCCTTGAGGCGTAACGACAGTAGGGATGTGTAACACAACTTTTTAGGAGAACATATCAATCAGAGTATGGAGCTAGCTTACACCCTTACACTTGTCACGGACATTTGTTTACTGGTGAACCCGGAAGAAGACACGCACGCGCGCACACATACTTCCTTTTCGCATTTAAATTCGTATTAGGAGAATTTTGGTGAACAAGATATTTGTCTCTGTGGTCAGACAATACAAGAAAATACAAGACAATGGTCCTTTTCTTTTCTTTTCTGAAAGGAAATTTATCCGCTGCAAACAAAAAGGAATTTACAGTCATTTTGTATGCCTAGAAACCAAACTAATTTTTTTTAAAATACGATGTACGGGTGTGTTGCAGTTGTGTGCAGTTTCTGCCTTCCCAAAGAAAACAGATAAAGGGGAAGTCGGTGAGGGAAATGTGCAGCATTGATCACGGGTCAGAAAAAATAGGGTAGAATTTAAAAAAATAAAAACTAATATATGGGATTGTTGTCAAACTTCCTTCTTGTCCTATATTTTCCCCTTAGAATAAAAATACGTACTAAATAAATATGATAAATAAGCAAGTCTCTATATTTCTCTATTTGAACAGCCTTAATTCAGCAGTGGTCTATACCTTTATCTGCTTCTCGTCCTAGTTGGCGATGGTTCATTTGTCCGACGACAGAAAACCGTCTCCAACCACACTGCAATGGTCGCTCAAGAAGAACACGTTACCACGCAGTGCCAGGCGGCTTAGTTGCGACGAGGAAGCTGGCAAGGTGTGCACTGGAACAAGCGTACATCCGAACGTTGTCGTCTTTATATAATGAAGAAGCCGTCTGATAAGTCGGAATTCGGTGTCGGTGGGACTTGCGCCCGAGGGTCGCGTTGTAAGAATGGCGAGCTCAACTGAGCCGTCTCGCTGTTTGATTTTATCAATTTATTCACGATCACGTCCAGACACCTGTCACTGCGGTCAAAGGACGAGTGGCTGTGCCATGGAAACTGACAGATCTACCTGTCGGTGACTTACATGTTAATGAGGTACTTTTTCCCGCTCATTCGGCATACAGTCAAACATGTCAAATTGTTGGTCTAGTCGGTTACTCGGCCGCCGTACTTTCAACATCCCTTTCAACCGTTCAAGAACAATCATATTTTCTTCGCCTAATAGAATCACAGTTACTTTTCTCATGACAGCATTAAGGTTCCGGGTCGGAGTTTAAGTAAGTGCGCAGTAAATCGCCGGAAACGTGACTTTGTATGGTATGTTTTGGCCGCGATATCCCTGAAATCGTAATATCTGTGTACATATATTTATATTATCTGAAAAGCCTGTTAGTTGTAGCCTTTATAGGTGGCGTAATGTTGGTGGTCCAGCGAAGACTTCCTGGTATTAGTCCGCGCGGATGGCTATGTGGCCTTTTCGCCTGTCCGCCGGGATGGTACGTTCAATGCCAATATCTTGTTCAAGCTCAACAGTAAGTCCCTGTTCAAGCTCAATACAGTCGCCGTAGACTGTGTAATACAGGCTAATGGTTAAGAAAACACCTCTTTGTATTGCGTGGTCAAACACTAGATTTAAAACAGAGCTTTTATGTCATGTCAACGTTCTGTCATGTCAACGTTCGCAGCTTATTAAAAAGATCAAAGGGGACATGTTATGTTACACCATACTGACACCAGTGCTGTTGTTATGATTGTCCAACTAACTCCTGCATAGTATTCTTAGTCACGGTCGTGTTCAACTTGACAGGATGTTGTGCTGGAGTCTTTGCCATCGCAGTATGATGTCATGTTCTGTGCAGGCAAGACAAAACATGCCCCTGTGTGAGTCTGTCACATGAATCGACACCTGTCTTTGGCTTCCTTATTTTATGAACGAACCCCGCAGGCAAGATACCGGCATGGCACGTTTTCTTAGTGACATCCTGTTTCCCTGTAAATCCGACGGTCCGTAAAAAAATTAAACAACTGTTGTGTTGTATTCATCGCGGAAATGCGCATAAGTGTTAACGCTAAATGCAAATTCAGAACTTGAAGAAAATATTTTCAGCCAATCAAGTCAAATGTCACCTCAAAGCTAGCCTCCTTCGCAGTCTTGTTGGGCGTCGGCGTTATTTTTTCTGTGAGCGACGTGACTAACTTGCGGCCGCGAGGGACGATATGCTGCCGAGGGAGTTTTTGTCGCCGAGAGAAGGATTCGCGCTTGTTGGAATCCTTCTCTCAAGACTGCGAAGGAGGCTACCTCAAAGCCACTATTATGAATCACGGACTCAGATATTCCATAAGACCTGGTTGTGGTTGGTTCTAGTTGTCCAGGCGTGCGCTCGCTTTGGTTGTGGCATTTTAGATACAATCTAAAAGATGGCTTATTTCGCATATAGTACTAGTAAACATTGATCAAAGTGTCTATTCTTTTCCTGCTTTTCAACTTTACCATACAATATGTTCTGAAATGGTATCAAACAACCAGGAACAAGAATCTGTCCAATAAGTAGTGACGTAAAAACGAACAAGAGATTTAGGTTTTGCTTGCTGTTACAAAATGGGTATTTATCTGAGTCTGTAACTTTAATTTTCTTTAAACACCAATGTGTTGGCAAACATTTGTGTATCATTTTATACTGAAAATACCGTAGTTTAACATTCTTAAATCTATTGTTCCAAATAAGTGTTTTTAACTGTCACCTCTATTTTAGACACATCTAAGGTAACAATTTTTAGAAATTCGTCAGTGACTTGTTTTGAAAGATAGAAACACATACTGCCAATTTTTCTAAGAAAATGTCGGACATCTTCTTGTCCTCAGTTTCCTGTCATCATATCAAATGTGTCAATATCTGGCAAATAGGGACTTTTAGCTATTTTTGAACAAAAATGTACATTTTTGTCTCCTGTGCCCTACTATTAAATCCGACGAAGTCACTGATTGATGAATTTCTACTAACTGTCAATATCATCTATGTCCTAAAGGTACGGAAACAAACAGCTGAGACATAGAAAAAAAGATACATTCAGATCTCCACTTAATAAAAAAATATGCAATACACTAGTGCTCTATATTCCCGTTGCGACATACGTTTACACGTTCAGTCCGAACACCGGGGAAAACACGGTACAAGAAAACGCTACGTAGACATTTGGAATGTTGCTGTCAACTGCAGCGTTTGTCTGAGTACGCCTTCTCCTACCTGATAGGTCTAGATGAAGGTCCTGGTCCCATAAACAACACCAGCCTGCCCAAACGTACGCCTTCACTCCAAGATCTAGGGTCCCAAACGTGGCTAAATTTAAAAATCACCCCCAACCTGTCCAAAGACTAAAGAACCGCTCTAAAATCTCTGAAACAAGACCGGAACATTCTAATCCTTCCGGTCGATAAAGGACGTGCCGTAGTAGTGTTAAACAGGGAGGATTGTCAACAGAAGTGTAGAGCGTTACTCGACGACGAGAATACTTATCTCCGACTGGGAAAGAAAGACCCGACTCCTAAGTGCAAGAAACAGCTAGCTGGTAAGTGTCTTACAGCAAATTGAGAAGGAACAGGGCTTTAATAGAGTGACTTATAGACAACTTTACCCTACAACAGACACCCCTCCGAAATTTTACGGACTACCGAAAATTCATAAGACTGGTGTACCACTTAGACCCATCGTCAGTAGTATTATTTGAAGTAAGCATACGCTAAATCGACACGTATACCTACTAGTACGGCAAATAAAGCCTACCAGAGGGCGCTCGACCAAACTTTGACGGTATCCTTGGAGTGACGCTCCGACCTCACCCGTACGAAATTATAGCAACATGTCGGGAATGACTGTGATGAATTATATAGACACAATACAATTACAGCGACCTTTATAAAATGTACTATAACTATACATTAAAACAAACATGTTGAATTTTACGTATCACTTATACTACTGGTGGTAATTATAAGGTCTAAATATTCTTTGAAATATTTACCATTTTGTACACAGTAAGGGTTATCTTTTTTGTCTTTAGGTTTATCTGTTGAATGTAGTGTATGAAATTCTGATGAGCAAGCGGAAAGACAGTTGAACAGTTTTGTGCGTTTATCATGAATAACTCAATGATATACAAAAGAATTGCTTTAAATGCTACAGATTAAATTATTTCTCTATAAGTATGTTGTTTCAAACTGGGAAGAAGTTGCATCTACACTGGTGCTTTGTCTCTGCTTCTCTTCCTTTCTGCAAGGACTGACGCTGCCTAACAGTACCTCTATCTGTCCGCGGAACTTTCGTCCCAAAAGCGCGTACAGAAAAGGGTTCGCCGCGGAGTTGACCAATCCGAACGCCCAGCACGCGTGCAGGGCCTCCTCGTCGCCACGGTAACCAGAGGACGCGATGACAACGGAAGTGACGTGGAACGGAAGCCAGCAGACCAGGAAGAAGACCGTGACGACGACCAACATCCGGGCAACCTGCCCGTCATCCCTTGCGGCAAACCTGTTGGACTGTCGGACTTCCCGAAGTACCCGGATGTATAACGGTACCATCACACAAGCTGGTATTACATATATAATCACAAATATAACAATAGCCAGGATAAGCAGCGAATTCGTGCCACTTGAGTCAAGATGTTTCAGATAAACGCATTCAAAGAGGCTCTCAGTGGTGAAGTTCCAGTTTTGAGTGATGACGTTTCGCACGACTGTATCGAGCGCGGCCGTGAGAAGGGATGCCGCCCAGAGGACAAGGCACGTCCTCAGGGCTTTCCTCACCGTGCTGTGCTGCAGGTGGTCCAGCGGCCTGGTGACGGCGTGGTGACGCTCCACCGCGATGGCCGTCAGGTGGAAGACGCTCGCTGACGCCAAGAGGACGGCAAGGACGCGGCCGACGTCACACCTAGAAGAAAGGAGCGTGGGGTTAATTAATTCGGCATTTGTTGAATGAATGAATATTATTCAACCGGTAGACATACATTTTGTATCAGTCTGAATTTTGTTAGATTTACTAAGTACAGCTCCGTAGTCTTTTTTTTTTAAGATTATAATTCAATTTCATGTACATGCGATGCCCACAAGTTGTTGTTTGTTTGAACTGGTCGCGGGACATTCAATTTGCATCAAGTTCAATGCGTCCGACTTATGTAATCGGTAAACTGGGTGAATTGAAATCAGCCTTCATAGTGTTATCATACGCTGCCACACTAACAACTACTGACACAAACAAACAAACAAAAACTCATAAACATCAATTGAAGGATATGAAGGAAGAAAGAACAATGGACACCGTTGGAAATTCAAGGGGGAGAAACGAACAAATAAACAAACAAACAAACCCTCTGAGGTAGCTTAGCGAGTCGTTCTCGGTACCCCTGCTCGGGTCTTCCTCTAGCACCGACAACGGCGTCTGTACCAAGCTGTACAGGCAGAAGCCGAAGTCAGCCGCGGCCAGGTTCCCTACGTACACGTTGGCGACGCTTCTGACGGCCGGATACCGTCCGATGAGGAAGATGATGAAAGCGTTCGCCAGCAGTCCTATGACAGAAATGATCCCCTGGACGCCGTAAGCCACGTAAAAGGATGCAGTCGAAACGGTGCTGTTTGTCTCATTAAGATCCATCATGACATCAGAGTACTAGTATACTATAGGCAGTAGTGAGCAGTCTAATGTTATGAACCCAGTCATTCGGTGTCACATATCCATCCGCAACCGCGTGCCTAGTATAGTAAATATGGTAATAGTAATTGGTTAATGAGAGAAAATAGTACATGCTAGGAAGACCACATTGCAGCTCATTAATTAGGCTGGATAAATCGGACGAGTCCAAGTTTGCCTAAAAAGCGTTCACGAACCTGATACATATTCTTCTTGCCACACAAGTTTTAAAAACTGAACTCAGCACTTTTAGAGTAGTAATGATATTTTTTTAGTATAGAGACTTCTATTCCCTCATGAGAGTGACACTGAAACCTTAGTGGGAAAATTATACACACGCCCTCTCCAACTGTATCTACCAGAACTCGTTGGACAACTTTGAAGGACAAATTAGGGTCACATAACACATGCCGCCATGATTGACTTGCAACATATAAAATTGAACAGAAAAAAGACATGCTCAGGAGTTGCCATTGTGTAAACTGGCCAAGGACCCCATGTAGAACAAAAGACCCATGTTTAGTCGTCTAAAAGTTCTCAGATAGTTGCTTTCTCGTAGCTTGAGCGTCCTATTGTAAGCTGAATCTGAAACAGTGTCACTGCAACTGGCAAATAATGTCCATAAGAATCTATATAAAATGTATAATATAGTCACCGTGAGCTAACGTGTTAGCTAGCCAAAGATAACTTTGTTGTTCCGAAACGCTGAATAAAAACATAACACATAACAGGTTAACCGTGCATATGTTCACAGACTAGGTCTTTCGGGTGACATACATGTACATGTATTTCATGAAGTTTGTAAAAGAGCAGAAGGTACAAAAGGCAGATCTACTTACGCTGTCCTTTGGTAGAAAGGTCAGTGACAACAACACTGTTAAGTTGGGTTTACAGTAGCCTCCTTCGCAGTCTTGTTGGGCGTGGGCGTAATTTTTGTGCGCGACGCGAGTAATATGCCGCCGCGAGGGACGATTTGCTGCCGAGGGACTTTTGCCACGGAGAGAAGGTTTCCGCGCTCCAACAAGACTGCTTCCAATCGGCGAGTTAAAAGGGCTATCAAAAAACACTTAGGAGCGATTGGCATGGATGTGTGAACTTCCCGCAATAAACGCCACCAGTGCAGGGTGGTGTTCACGCCCCGTTGATCGACGAGCCAAAACTTGTAACTTTCCAGCGGTCGCCGATCAACCCGTCGGTAGAACGCCAACCATTCCCGAAAACCCAGCCCTATCCACTCAACAAAATCCCGGAGACATTGCTGCTACGAAAAACAACTTTGAACAAATCACTACCACAGGAACCCGCAAGCTAAACTGTGATATTGCTGGGGGACGTCGACAGATAAACAAAGTGCCGCCATGTTGTTTGGTGGCGGGTTGATCTCACTGACCATGGGAGGGTAACACACCGCTCCGCAGCAAGTTGCGTAATAGAAAGAATTGCACATTTCACCAGCAAAAATAGTACTGCAAATTGTCTTGGTTTGTTTGCATGGGACGCTTAAATATGCACGGCAATGCCTTTGTTGTAACATTACCAATGTTCTCTGTTGGAACCTTCGACTATAACGTCACGCAAGCTAATAAAACCAACCGTTGACAAAGGCGAGCGCGTGTCATGCGTATCTGTGAATTACCCTTGCGCGGACATGTGAATTGGACCTGCGCGAACATGTGAATTGGACCTGCACGAACATGTTAATAGCCTCTATGAAAGGCTGGCTTAATCCGAGGCCCTTTCTACTCGCCGAATGGAAGCAGTCTTGTTGGAGCGCGGAAACCTTCTCTCCGTGGCAAAAGTCCCTCGGCAGCAAATCGTCCCTCGCGGCGGCATATTACTCGCGTCGCGCACAAAAATTACGCCCACGCCCAACAAGACTGCGAAGGAGGCTAGGTTTACAGCATATTTCAGTGTTTTCCAATGCAGTCAAGTCAAACATGCACATGGACAATTGTTGTCGCACGGTCGCATTCGCCGTAGGGCGTGTTTTGTTTTTGTCGTACGAATACCAGTAAGGGTATGATAGGACAGAGTCCGAAGATCCACGAGTTTCTACAACAACCTTTCCCGTCGCAAGACAGCTGATTTTTACCAGACTCGTCCACGCACGACTAAAGAACGCCCACAATTTGCTGTCGTGAATCGGTCGGGAACTCGTGATGCGGTTCTTGCCCTAGTATTTAGTCCTTGGGTATTTTGTTGACTGTTGTGTTGGCATGTGTCCTCAATCCGCGTCCATGCAGTTTGGGTAATGATGCCCTGAGGCAGAGGGGCTAGTATTATTGTCGGATAAAAGTGGATTATACTATTTATAGGGGGTCTTAAGGTTACATTATGGCCCAAGGTTATGCCCTCTGTTGTCATACAGCCTTGAACTATGACATCTGACCCATGGTACCTAATTATACTCTGTAACTAGATATTTCTAAATCGTTAGATCCATAAAAAAATACATTTTGTACCTCCTGTCAATCACTTCAATAAAATATCTGTTTCTCTGGCAATGGTGTGCCTCTGTTTCCAAAAGGCTAAGAAGAGAAAGCATCAAGAACTTTTTACAAACTCTTTTAGGTACTTGGAGGACGACGGAGGTTCAATGAAAGGAGAAGATATCAGAGAAAGGGAAATAACAACAAAAATATTTGGTTTACCATGCTCTCTGTTGAAATGAAAGTTATGTACTGCAAACAAAATATATTTGTCACCGCCCGGGATCGAACCGGGGACCTTGCGCGTGTGAGGCGCACGTGATAACCACTACACTACGGTGACTGTTGATAAAAACTATGTGTGGATGCCTTATGCTGCTATAGAGAAAACGATGGCATGAATGCGTCCTGTGGGAATTGTTAAACTAACCATTCAAAGTATCGATTATCAATACAGGCACAGAAACCTACGATATCGATTGACACAGCTTGAATCACTGTATTTTCAAAGACCGTTTTCCAATACTGTTTATATTGCTATCATATTTTTTCAATTACTGTGAATGGTTCTGAGTATATGGTATAATATCATTTTGGGTAGACCAATAAATGACAATTCATTATATTGGCCTCCTTGTCGCACTTATTAATATTCATCCAACCAAAGAGATCATATTCGGCACCTGTCATTCCATATAAGGCAAAGGTAGCACTAATATTCATCTCTTAAAAGAGACTATCTGTTTTGTGGTATATCAAGGCAATAAATCATCTTGTAAGATGTATATGTTCTGCTCAATGCCTCGACGGTTTTTGTATTTCATTTCAATGTTTCTCATTACTCAAATTCAAATTCCAGACCACTTCCTTCAAATGTTTTTTTGAAGCGGTTGTCAAACACCTCGCTCTGCGGCTCCGTGAAATAGTTTTTCCAGTCACCCACGACACCTGAAAGGCAATATAAGAACAGGATGAAAAAAAAACAACCCCACTTCTTCCAACTAGAAAAACAACAACCCCACTTCTTCCAACTAGAAAAACAACAACCCCACTTCTTCCAACTAGGTACCAAAGCAATCAAGGGGGCAAAATATAGCTTCAAATTTGGTATATTAGAATACCAAGCGAAGCAAAGCAAATCAACCTTTCTTCTCCCATACTCCATCTCTGAGAGGGAATTTCCGCACTGAAAGTTTCTTTCTCTCTGTGGAACAAGCTTCCTTGTGAATGCTTCCCTAACGAATGGGTACAACCTTAAACTTTAAAAGTGTAAGGTAAAAAAAACTGCATATCTTTACAGTTCATTTTTTATAACCCAAAATATGTAAGTTGTTCTTGATGTTTTGCACGTGGTGAAAATAGATAAGTAAATTTAAAAAACGTAATTCATTTTCACATCGTGTGTGTTGTACGGTACCTTTTCTCTTTATCCTGGCGAGTTTCTCCCCTGGCTCTATTGGAGTCTCAAAACTGCAAGACTTCACCACGAACTCCACTTCTTCATCACTGAGCGTCTTGTTTAGGAACGCCGCTATCTTCTTTACCGTCGAGAACATCGTCTACAGGATACAAACAAGTAAAATCTGAGATTTTATACCTCCGGGCTTTAAACAAAGAATTTATCGAGACCGGACACCCCTCTGTGTGAGGGGTCATATACGTGGACCAGTCCGAGAATAGCTTAAATACGCCAAAGGTCAACGGTCGCGACCACTTTCACGCTCAAGGGGGTGTTTTGGGGCCACCAAAAGGCACCATTTTCACCCCCGAAAACACATATACAATAAAAACAAAAGAATGTGCATCATCTACAGCCCAATAGCAAAACATATACCGAGCCTCAAAAGAATCTGTCCACCCAAACGCGAGAAACAGCTGCGAACATGAAAATCTAGATCTCTCACAAAACCCTTGAGGAAGGATGTCTCCTCCACCGGAGGTAACAAGAAATCTAAGATTCCAGCTCTCCGGGAAATATGTAATGCGTAAGGTTCACAACAACCCCTGATAAATTTCAGACCGATCACATTGTTACGAGTAACGTTACATAAGTATTGTACCTCATATCAATTGGATCATGGAATATACAAGAAATACTAGAGAAGTAACATTTGCAAAGCAAATGCATAATGTTTACCTTCGGACATGGTCTGCTCTGTTAATTCTTACTCAAACACATTCACATACATGTACTACTAGTATATGGTGACATGAGCAGACCGTGAAATTGCAACATTATGTAACCCAACACCAGTCACCATGGTGACAGACATCAACAAATCATGTCATTGGTCAGGTCAGAGGTCACTGTTTGGAGAAGAAGAAGCGGGAAGAAACAGAGCAAAAACAATATGTTTTCCTTTGGTAAACATAAAAATCTTGATGACAACATGACTTGAACAGAGCGAAAGCTGAAAGTGTTTTAGTACCTTCTTGAGATCCTCGTACTTGATGAAGAGAAAGTGGGGGTCTTCCTTCATCTCCCACCAGCCCAGGACGTGGTCGTAATACGACCCCCGCTGAACTAACAAAAATGGTGTGCGTAAATTATCTAGCAAACGTCGAATTTAATACAGTAGGCGATCTGGTGATAATCAGTTTGATAGTTTATTTGCACATTATTATTTAATAGAATAGAAGATGAACAACACTTTATTTTAGACTGTACTTTATATTCTAATGAAAGATCTGTCCTTTTTTTATTATATCAAAGAGAAGTTCCCATACTTTGAACACCTAAGCGCAAATGATAAATTTATATTTTTGATGCGTCTAGACAAACCCTGTATCACAAACATGATCTGTTCCCACATTTTCTACTGTACAAAAAAGCGCGAAGTTTACCTCTTTATATTAGCTCAGTGACTAGAACACTTTGTATTAGCCTAGTATAGTACCCTTGTATGTTCCTTATGTATGTATGTATGTCTAAGTCAAGTGCATCTTTTGTCTCCAATTTTCTATATACGTTTGTTATGTGTCTGTTATATCTTGACCTGTACCTAGCCCGTCGTGGAATGAATGTACAATAAAGGTACTAGTATTTCATTTCATTACTGCAAGAGGGCTTACTGCAACATGGAAAATGCATATACCGACAGTGCAAGCTAACAATGGTGACAAATGACTGACAAGGGACTATTTGATCTAAGAACTGATACGGAAATAATGTGAACCCAGTTTGCCTCATCAATAATGTGATGCAATTTACCATTCCCCTCCAGGAAGTCCGCTAGAAACGTCTCCCAGGATTCAGGCGTTTTGAGGTAGTTGACTTGATGAGACCAGTGGTAGTAGGATGTGCAAACGTCTTTTGGGTTTCTCATCAGAACTAGCACTTTGATCTGAAAGAAAAAAAATGCAGTTCACTTGTGTTTGAATGCCAATTTGACAAAATGTACTACATGTATTGCTAAACATTTAGCCATCTTTTCAACATAAAAAGTCACTCGTAACGAGGGACTTTTTATGTTGAAAAGGTGGCTAAATGTGCATGACTCGTACCTTCTTGCTGGGTCGAGCTAGTCCTGGTGGCGCCAGATCTCTGCTAAGAAACGTATGAATCAACCTTGGAGGGGCGACATCTAGCAGTTCCACGTGGCATGGCAGTCTACCTGGATACGTGTGCTCCAGGCCAAAGTCCACGTCTTCATCGCACCTTTCTGTCTTTTCATGCAGGATTTGGCGCACAATCTTCCTTATCCAATGGGTACCTTTGTTTTTGTAACAAAGATGTATAATTTGCTCACAGTTACTGTAGTAAAGTCAATAATACGAACAGTGACCAGCGGACGCCACAAAATGTTGAATCATTAACATACAGGATCCGGAATTTTCATTTCTATATCACATAACAAAGCCATCGACATCAAGCACTACCCATATGTCATATTTTATGTGATGCAAACCAAAATCGACGGTGTATGATCTGAGTCGTTTGTTTCGCAATTATAGACTTACAATGTATCAATGTCAAAAATGATTATATATTTTTGAATTCACAAATTATCAATAAGTACAACCTGGAAGTAACAATGTTTACTTAAGATATATATACATGAAGTATTAGTATTATGATCAATGTAAAGGTCTGTTAAGAATTTACTGAAGTCATAATACTGGAAAATGGTTACCGGTCTTTGGGTATCCAATGGTGACAACGTCGCCATCTTTGAGCTCAAAATTCTGCATAGCTTCTAGGTTGTCTTGAGTCACCCAACTTAAAAACTGCCTGCCCTTATATTCAGTATAGGGTATGTCCGGACCGGAATATGGGGACGTCGCCATATCCTTCAATAACAACGCCAGGTCACACAGTCACGTAAATTCGACGTAAAGCGGTAATTCAGGAGGTGTTAAAACTTGACCAACTTTCCAGACTCAACAATCAGATCAAAGTACACCGAAGGTCATTGACTACTAGTATTTAGGATAACAAACTAACAGAACGGGCTGGGGGAGGGGCTCGGCTCGGCACCTGTCACTCCGTACAAGGACAAAGGTAGCACTAATTAATATTCATCATACCAGATATGTCACACGGCACCTGTCACTCCATATAAGGGCAAAGGTACCAATATTCATCCAACCAAAGACGTCACACGGCGCCTGTCACTCCATATAAGGGCAAAGGTACCAATATTCATCCAACCAAAGACGTCACACGGCGCCTGTCACTCCATATAAGGGCAAAGGTAGCACTAATTAATATTCATCCAACCAGATATGTCACACGGCACCTGTCACTCCATATAAGGGCAAAGGTAGCACTAATTAATATTCATCCAACCAGATATGTCACACGGCACCTGTCACTCCATATAAGGGCAAAGGTACCAATATTCATCCAACCAAAGACGTCACACGGCGCCTGTCACTCCATATAAGGGCAAAGGTAGCACTAATATTCATCCAACCAAAGACGTCACACGGCACCTGTCACTCCATATAAGGGCAAAGATGTCATTAATATTCATCCAACCAAAGACGTCACACGGCACCTGTCACTCCATATAAGGGCAAAGATGTCATTAATATTCATCCAACCGAAGACGTCACACGGCACATGTCACTCCATATAAGGGCAAATTATAAGGGTAATATTCATCCAACCGAAGACGTCATACGGCCCCTGTCACTCCATATAAGGGCAAAGGTAGCACTAATATTCATCCAACCAAAGACGTCATACGGCACATGTCACTCCATATAAGGGCAAAGATGTCATTAATATTCATCCAACCAAAGACGTCACACGTTGCCCAGACTCGCTCCATATAAGGGCAAATGCGTCACTCTTCCCTCAGACAAATCATTTCAGTTGTCATATTCATATACATCTTTCGCTGTCATATATCAGACCTTGCGTCCACTGTCTACCAGTTCTGTACAAAATGTACGAGCAAGCGGTGCCTGTTCGGGCCCGAATCGCAGGACAAGTCAGCGGGCCGCCGTCCCAACTCGCTCCCTTCTGTCAGAGGGGTACAGACGGGACCGTCCGCCTTGGCATAAACGCCGACGCCACGCCGTACAGGTGGCAAGAAGGGATAGAGACGTCTTCAGACACGTACGAAAAACCTGAGGTGGTGAAACTACAGGAGCTCTCGCCACAGGGGCCTCAGACACAGCGAGCTAGACTGGAATTTACGGAGGACGCCACAAGTAACACGTCATTCCATGTCGGTAATACTGTAGACAGAAATTACCCGTACGGCCAGTATCGGAGCCTTCCTAGTTTCCTCGCCCCCCGCCGCAGCTGCCAGGCCGCCGCCTTTGCTGTGGTGGTGACCCTGGTCTCTGTGGGACTCGCCGTCATGGTGTTCACCAATGGAGAAGGAATATCTCAACTCTCCAACACCGTCGATACCTTGAAACGCAACCTGGCCGGCCAGAAAAACCTAACTGCCGCCCTGAAGCAGCGTCTTGACCAGAAGATGTCAGTGCCCCGTCCAGAGGAATTTGTCAAGCACTTCGGTACGCCTGTATCCTGTCCTGAAGAATATACCAAGTGGCGCGGACTCTGCTACAAGGCCTTCAACGCGACTAAGAACTTTTGGCAGGCGGAGCTGGCCTGCCACGAGGACGGCGGCACCCTCGCCATGCCCCGAGACAACGACACCAACGCCTTCCTCATCTCCCTGTACAAGACCGTCAGCAAGAACAGCTTCTTCTGGATCGGTCTGCACGATCAGGACGAAGAAGGAAACTTTAAGTGGGTGGACGGCACTGCTCTTGGTGATTACAACTGGTGGGCTACGGGGCAGCCCAACAACCATGCTAAACGGGAAGATTGTGTTGCCTACAGCGCTAGTAAGATGAACCGTACCCACATGCCGTTCAATGTCATACAGCAGCCGGAGAAGTGGTACGACGCCCCGTGTTACAGCCGTATACCATTCTTGTGCCAAGTAGTCCCAGAAAACGCACGGGCGCCACTCAATTAATTCCCCAGCTATTCTCCAAGAAAGGTAAAGAATATGTACGATAACATTAAGTAAAAAGACTAAAATAGAGGATACATCTTGGGGCTATAGTTTCTACGCCTACAGAATGAAATATACTGATGCAAATGTGCGAATGTGGGGTGATGTGCCAATACCAGACAGATTTCCTTATTCAGAATATTTACACTTTTAATGCAAAAAATCGCACTGGATGTCTTTGAGTCAACACTTCGAACGTAGAGAGGTTACACACATAAGAGTATCGTTCTTTTTCGTGAAAATCCCAGTCTTTGTATTGTTGCCAATGTGGTAAAATGGTTTAATATGTATAATGACTGAGTAATAATAACCCATTGTAATAAATCTGTTAGTCAGCATTATTGATATTAGTTGATAATTTCTTGCATTCGTGGATTTATAGATCTTATTAACACATTAATTTGGAAGCATACATATTTACACAAATGACAACACTCATACTGAGTGGCTTTTTATCATGAAATTAAGTTCATCTGTGTTGGTAGTAATCATAGTATCATGAGTTTCTTCTTGTCTACATGTAGATGGAAGTGTCGTTCCTGTATACAATTTCGAGTGAGTGGCCGCAGCAAGTAATTTTTTATGGATGACATCAGCGCGCGTTTTGTTGCCTTCTGACAGTGGTAACATGCCGAAAATGGGCAAAGATGTCTAGCTGTTGCCATGCCGGAAGGTGGATGGCAGATAACTATAAAGAGAGGAGACAAGAAAAGGCTCTAATTTAATGTTTTGTTTCTTACTTTGATGCAGTGATATGTGATGCTGGCTGTGTTTGTGTGATGTTCCTACTGAATCAAAACCATTTGTGCAATGATTGAGTCAACAAATTTTAAAAATGTAGGAACCTTTTTTTTCGGCCCACCTTGTTTTTTTTTCGCCTGCTCGCATTAGATTTGGAGTAATTATAAGCTGCGGAGGATATCATCCATAAATTTTACTTGCTGTGGCCTTAGGTTGCTTCCCACGCACGTCTCTGTGAATATATTATTCAGCCGTACGCAGTAAACAATCGCCTAGCAGATGTTATATGAGATTCTGTATATTTATACCATTTTCAAGCTACCATCACATCGTCTATTAGACACAATCCTTTGAAATTGACATCAGGACGAGTTATGAAATGATTTTGTAGATTTCCTTTCTTGCTCAGACTGACTTTTTGCTTCGGAAATTAGTCTACCAGCAGATATCCTTATACATATACATGTAATGGAAATGTGACATCGCTGTCTCAGACTAATCATCATACGTCATGACATGATCATATATATTCTGATGTTGAGGACTGTGTATCTATTTTCTTGGAGTAGTCATTTTTTGTTAATACCTGTCTGTATTATGAATAGTTTGAAATGTGATTTCCAAGGCAATAAATTGGATTCATCCAAAGTTTCGACTGTGCAACTCTAGTCTTTGACAAGGAATGAGCAATCCATATCTTATTTTTTCTCCACAGAAATAATAATTTGCTTTGTACCCGGCCACTTCTCCTCAATTGAATTTTCAGTGGGGCTTTCTACAGTAGTCTTGTATGGTCTGAATTCTGTTGTACAGTACAAATGTGATCCTGAATATATAATTCTCCTTCATACCTTTTCTACCTCCTTCAGGACCGGGGTGCTGTACCTTCAGCTTCTTTCTTTCTTTCGGGTCTATTTTCTCGCAAAGGCACTGCCATTATGTATTAAATTACATACCCGTAGCCAGGATTGGGGGGGGGGGTCTTCTTACTATCAATAATTTCGCGTGAATTGACATTAAAATTTGTTTTCAAGCTCTTTTAGATGGATGTAAAACCAGCCAAAAAATACCAGTCTATAAACTAGAAAGGTAACATTTGCAAGGCAAATGCATAACCTTTGCACATGGTCTGCTCTGTTCTTACTCAAATACATTCATATATATATATGGTCAGACAGGAGTTTAAATCCCTCCTGCTATGAAATTGCAACATGATGTAACCCAACACTAGCTTCCATGGCAACAGACACAACATTGGTTCCGGTCGGAGGTCACTGTTTGGAGAAGAAGAAGAGGAAGAAGAAACTGAGCAAAAACAATATGTTTTCCTTCAGCAAACATAATAAATCCATATAGCCTTCTGGTTTCACCCATGTGTATGGTTTACTTTAAAAGTAGTGCAATCATTCACTTTCATGCAGCATAAGAGAAGAACACTGAATTTAATGGTTCAATTAAATTTATTTCCTCTATAAATGACTCTTTTTGTAAGTTCTCACATGTTTAGCTGAAGAACCAGCATGGATACAGAATCTAGCTCTGTTAGGTAATCTCTGGTGTACTTTCTGTATTTTGTCTACACTCCAATGTGTACAAAACTTTTCAAATATATACAAGTTAAGTCCTACATCACATTACCACATGTATGTTCAACCATTACATTACAGTACATCACAGTACTTTAAGCCTTCAGGTACCTTTGAGGTACCTAGTAAATGCACCCAATGCAATTTCAGGACAAACTGAATTTTTAAAGTCAATTTTCTGGTAATTTTTTTAATGTAGTGAGGCAAAAATGTGATGTTGCTAATGAAGTAGATTTCCTGATCCAGAATATTGTTTTGAAATTACATTGGATGCCTTTAACAGCAAAAGTCAGTTATTAACACATTTTCATGTCCATCCTCCTCACTGCTTGAAGGATGCAGTTGACTTGGTGACACCGTGTTTCCTGTGAGGTAAACAAGATAAACATGTCAATAAAGCATGAATGTAAACAGGAAACCACAAATGTAAACATTTGAAATATTTGAAACATTTGAGAAAAAGCATGAGACAAGACCAAGAGGTGCATGACTTTTGCAATGGAGAAATGTATGAATGTTCATTGTATTTTGCACAACTTTTGATCACAATTTGCACATGTGTAGATGGAAAGCTATTTTAGATCTGTACTCTACTTGAAACAACTGATGAATATTTTACATTCTGAATAGGATATGAATATATGGACCTCACTAAAGAAACACACAGTACATTTCAGGAAAATTGATATAGTTGTTACTTACGCCTCCCTGACAAAGGTGTCCATGTTGATCTGATCAGCGTCTGCTCCCACTGGATGTGGGTCATAGTCCACACACCCTAGATTCTCCATCGCTTTAGGAAATAACCAAGGAGAAATGTTATATTATACCTTCTTTAACACCTTGTGTACTGCCTTAGCCTCTATCGGGTTTTGGGAAGTGGCTGGAAAGAGCAGAAGTTGTTCAAATAGAGCTAACATGCTAGGGGAGTTGGTCCACTACAAAGTACATTGGCAAACTATACTCCTGTTTTGGACCAACTCCTCTGGCATGTTATCTCTAAGCTCTATTTGGACAATTTCTACTCTTTCCAGCTGCCTGGTAGAAGCTATACTGCCTGTCATATCTAGTAATTGATTGATTAAGTTGTTAAATACATGTAGCTGACAATTAGCTGCGCTCCCTCTAGAAGTCACTGAGAATTCGCCATAAACAAAAACTTGTACTAATGTACTGACAGATTTCAGTGTTATTCTATTTATTGGGTCACTTTGGGTAAGATGTGAAGAAAAAGTGAATCCCTACCTACTGACCCTATTTTTTTCCGGACTGTAATGAGACACACAACATTAATTTCATGAGTTAAACACTTACCATGTTTGTACTGTTCCAATGTGATGAAGCCCTTCCTTGTGGGGTCCAGGATGCCGAACAAGGCCTGCAGGTTGGTGTCATCAAACAGGACAGGGTAGTCCAACTGACTCAACTTAGACGTACGTAACCTCTCAAGGTACTGGATCAGGTACTGTCTCGGGTTGTCTACAAGAAAGTGAAGGGTTATGACGGTTATAATTTTTTAGGATTGACAGAGGCGCTGGGGACGAGCGTGACAGAGGCTAGTGTCAGTCTGTCAATAGGGAAAAAATCTTTAGAAAGAAAAGACTTAAGAAAATTCATAAGCCAATTAATAGTATAGAAAAAACATTGCGAAGAAAATTTATAAGCCAATCTTTAATTTAGAAAAAACCCTACTGGCTAGCCTGTTAATAGCATCTGTCAAAAAACATACATGATATCAAATTTTTAAACTTTAAAGACAGTTTAACCATACCCTTGGTTCAAAGGCGACAGAGTTGTTATGTTATATGGCAGTCTAGGACTGGAAAAAATTATTCGTAAAGCAACAAACTTCCTGGATGGGCGAACGAACCCCAGGTCCTTCGAAAATTTATACACGAGATACCAAAGCTTCCACCCAAATTTCACCGTCAACAAGAAAGCGCATACAACAAGTCTGAACACAACGAGAACGAAATCTGAGCACATGCTACACTCACCTGGTCTGCTGTACACAAGTTGTGCCGTAAGGTTGTTAAAAAGCTCGATTATTTTGTGTTCTTCCAGGTAGGCTCTTGCCTCTTCTTCCCTCGGTGCTGCCATTTTGTTTGACTGTTACCAACACGACGGACCTGGGAACAAGAGCGCAATTAACCTTTCACCCCTAGTATGGAAAATGGAAAATTCTGCAGAAATCGTACTTTTCGTATTGTCTGTGCTGAAATGAGTTGAATCAAACTGTTACGCTACAAACAATGATTAATACATTGGTATTTTACATTAATATTTTAGTTGTTTAGGTGCACAAATGCACAAAATGATGAGAAATGTTACTGGATACGAGAGCCGCAGAGCATGGTGGGATAGCAATGGCGCTGTCATGATAAAATTTTTCGTATCCCAGCTCACATTTTCCTTCTTTAACTTGCGTATGGTTTACAGGAGGCGTACGGGGCATACGGATAACGTGACAAATCAGGTTTAGGTAAACTTTGACAGATTCATTGGGGCCTGGGTAGACATACGGCGACGGCAGGAGTACTGAAAGTGCGACCACCACGCTCACTTGAAAAGGGGTGGGAGGGCGAGGGCAGATAGTTGCTTTGGCCGCACTTGTTACTTAGTAGTTAGTTTGTGTCGCAGAGGAAGACCTGTTTAACTTTAAGTTTCAAGTGTACGGCAAAAAGATTTAGAGATAAATGGCAGCCCAAGGAAACACGCAGAAGATTTTCCCGTCATCCCACAAAACGGTGGTGATCCTGGACCACAGTCCTTTCATGTCAGAACCATGTGGGCAGACTGTGGACTTCGACATTCTCCCAAAGGTAAGTACTGTAGTACATGTAACATAGGTAGCAACCTGAGATCTAGTGCAACCTGAGATCGATGGAAAACCTTAAGGAATCATATTACCTCATACCTAGCACAACCTGAGGTAAACAAAGGAATCATATTACTATAATTATTAAATTCAGGTCTAGTGCAACCAGAGGTAAACAAAGCCAAAGGGATCAAATTACCTCATATCTAGTGCAACCAGAGGTAAACAAAGGGATCATATTACCTCAGATCTAGTACAACATAAGCCTGAAATAAAGAAAGGAAGAATATTAACAAAGTTTGAAAGGAATCATATTAACAGATCTAGTGCAACCTGTCGATGAAGGTTAGACATCCAGGTAATAGGATATTCCAAAAAACAGTCACGTAACTGTAAGTGTTTTTTGGCGTGAGGTTAACAAACTTTACAAAGGAATCATTACACCAGAACTGGTGCAACATGATGAAGTAAACAAAGAGATTACATCACCTCAGAACTAGTGCAATTGTAGTACATGTACTAGTAGTGAGTACCTCTAAATCTAATGCTTAACTGATACCGTGTATCCCCACCAGTCACGTGCCGCTCCAGGAATCATCCCCCTGGCACCCCTGGCCAAGTCCCTGTGGACCTGCACTGTGGAGGCAGCTTCTGAATATGCAAGGGTCGTGTATGATGTCTACCCACCCAGGTCCAGGGATAAACTGGTAAGTCGGTCACACAATGCATGGCAAGAGATAGTCAGAATTGCATACGGATTACCCCACCATTGCTCTCTTTGTGTGAAATTCAAATGAATCATGACAGGGTTTGAAATTCTTTTTTTTATTAGATTTTCCACTGGGCAACCTAAGCCAAAAGCCCATGTAACTAAAATGTTCTCACATGTACTTCCCAACCACAGCTGAAATTTGTGATCACTGACACAGAAGCCAGGTCTCTTAACAGCTGGATGGAAGAAGAGCAGTCTTTATCTAACGTAAGTACCATTGTACACAAAACACTGTCTTCGGATATAACTGGAAAATTATAATATATAACGTTATATCTGTAAAAAAACAAAGCCTACCTGCACCAATCAGAATTTAGGAAGTACATGTATGAATTACACTAAAACTACAAAGCTGTTGATAAATCATTTCTTTTATACATCAAAGGTAGTGTTAAGCAATATAGCTACCGGTAATATAAATCCACATACCTAGTGTGTTACGCTGAAGGTGGGTTATACCGGCTATACCGATACAGATAACAGATACCTACACATAAACTTATACAAAATGTATCTAGTACACTACTATCTACCCAGTACATGGACCAGTGCAGGTTAGGTAAGGGTAGACATCAGAAATACTTGCACAGGTCCAATTCTACCTGAACTACATGTATAAATGTAAACTGCATATATATAAAGAGATGGCATTTTTAGCCCTGGAAATAGTCATGGAACTTCCAGCCATTTCAATTCACACCTAGGTTCTTCAAGGCCTTGCGGTTGTTGGGCCACCCTCAGACTCTGACGATGCTGAGAACTGCAGTGTGATGCACGGCCTGGCCATGGCTGTGGAGTCCCTGTGTGAGGGGAGTGAGAAACAGCTGGAACTCAGGGCCTCCCTGGCTGATCCTGAGGAACCTGTAGTCAACAAGGGCAGGGTGGTCTGCATCACCACTGTCAAAAGGTACAGTCATCATATAAAGTAATTAGATTTAGATTTCTGTATCTGTATCACCAACTGTCATTTGGCATAACACTATCTGTAGTATAGTAGAGTACTAGTAGTAGGAGTATATGACTGGACAACTATACTACTACAATGTACTACTACTACTGCTAGTCTACTACTACTACTAGTCTACCACTACTACATTTTTACTAGTCCATTACTAGTACTACTACTACTACGTAGCCTGCTAGTACTAGTCTACTACTAATGGTCTACTACTACTACTAGCCTACTACTACTACTTCTTCTACTACTACTACTACTACTACTACTACTACTACTACTACTACTACTACTACTACTACTACTACACAGCTTGGTTTGATTACAGTAATTCTTCATATTGTAGGCTGACTATATACATTGTGTACATTTTGTTTTTCTGTCATAGCCAAGGCCATATCCAAATGTTGGAGGAGTGTATGCAGGAGGCCATTGTACAGCACAACAAAATAGCAGAAGCAGCTGATAAGTAAGTATCATTTTTATATTTTTTGCACAACCTATTGTGAAAAATATAAAAAATAATATTTTTCATGTTCATTTGAATTTCTTTCACTCAGTGCAAAGATTCTGTCTTCATATTGTCCATCAGATGCCATGATGTTGGAAATTAATGAAGCTTACTTACAGTTAGGGTACTGGTACACAGTACTGGTACTGTACCATAAAAATTGATTTGGTGCAGGCCCAAAGTACCAAATCACTGAATACCAGTACTGTACTCATATTACACTAATCACATGCTTATTTGGGACCTAAAAAATAGCTGGTCCTCTATGGGTGACAGAATCAGGACAGTGTGTTTGTGTTACCTATACCTCTTCCTGTATCTATAAATTGTTTAGGTATACAGCACTATAGTCAACAACACTGTTTGTCTCCCTATTGACAGGTTACCCATCACCCATTGTGAACTGGTGTTGATTCACACTGTCCCAGTAGGGGCAGACAACAACATACAAGATCAACCTAACAAAGAGGTCAGTTTTGTACACATGTCATAATACATGTCATAATATAGTTTTATATTATACAATGTACTACTAGTCTACTACTACTAGTCTACTACTACTACATGTACTATTAGTCTATTACTACTACACACAAAATCATGGATTGCTATCTTTGATATTGCAAAGTGCTAACTGTCTTAGTCTTAGAGACACATTGTATCTACAAATGTATATCTTAAAGCATCCAATGCTATTTCAAGGTAGAAAGACTGGGTTTTCAAAGTCAATTTTCTGGTCTTTCTTTTAATGTAGAGTAAGTTGAATCCATCCTATCTCATTATTTCTCATAGCATATTGGTATCTGTGAGGCAAAAATGCGATGTCACTGAAGGATAATAGTTGCTTATACTGTATAAGAAAATCCCAATATCCCAAGTGTAATGTGACTTGTTTCCACTAGGTGTCCTCGCTGTTGTCCTGTGAGGTCCACTCGGTGCACTCAGGCAGGCACATTGCAGCCAAGCTGGCCTTACTGGTACAGAAGCACTTCCACCTGACTTCTACCACCATCACAGGCATACCCATGAAGGTACGACATACATACATGTTGGTCTTGTATATGATACTTAGGGGAATGCACCACAGTTTATTACCTCCGGGGGAGGAGACATCCTTCCGCGGAAGGGTTTTGTGAGAGATTTAGATTTTCATGTTCGCAGCTGTTTCTCGCGTTTGGGTGGACGGATTCTTTTGAGACTCGGTATATGTTTTGCTATTGGGCTGCAGATGATGCACGTTCTTTTGTTTTTATTGTACATGTGTTTTCGGGCGTTAAAATGGTGCCTTTTGGTGGCCCCAAAACACCCCTTTGAGCGTGAAAGTGGTCACGACCGTTGACCTTTGGCGTGTTTAAGCTATTCTCGGTCTGGTCCACGTATATGACCACTCACACAGAGGGGTGTCCGGTCTCGATAAATTCTTTGTTTAAAACCCTATATAAAAATATACAATAAAAAGCCCGGAGGTATAAAATCTCAGATTTTACTTGTTTTGGGTCTGAATTTGATTCTGCACAACTTCAAGCCTTGGGACTGTCTCTGAAGCAAAGAAAAACAACTGTGTAAGTCTTGGGCCCCAAATCAATTACTAAAATTGGCAAATTCTGTGAAACTTTGTATACTTTGTTCCAGCATTTGTTTTCAGTAATGTTTTATTGCAAAGATGACAATGCTAAAAATGCTGAAAGTGTTGCTGATAATTTCATTTGCTTTCAACATACACAAATAGGTACATTTTAATCAATGTGAAGAACAGTAACTTAGCATAGTCTTGTTTAAAACAAAATCTTGATCTTTTTTACCTAGGAGGAGCAAAATGCGTCAACCTCAGCAAACTACGATGTGGAGATCTTACACAGCAAAGACGCACACATTGAGATCCTTAAAATGGGTAGGTGCTATTTCTTACTATCAGGAATTGTCAGAGAAATGTTCATGATAATATACTAGTACATAATTTTCTCACCCAGTTGTGAAGTGACTGTGTTAATCATGTAAACATACATACTGTCTTTCTCTATGCTATGCTTAATAGCATATCCACCAGCTTTTGTCATTTCACTATGTGACATTTAAAAGCTGCATTATGTAACATTAGGACAATACAAAAATTTAATTTTGTGGTCATTTTTTTTATATAGTAAGTTGTAAGTAAGGGCCATTCAGGAATTGGAGGAGCAAAATCATGATGCCTTTAATACAAGACTGTTTAAAAGCTGGAAACACAGCTGTCAGCCATGATGTTTGTTTACATTCTAGTATTTTATGGTGGCACCACAAACTATGTGCACCTTGTGTGGGCTGTTTTAGTGCTAATCATAAATGTGAGACAATTGTGGAAATATGTTGAAAAGTGGCAGTGAATTACAATCACACAAAGATTTTTTTTAATTAAATGTTTCAATTTTTCTGGAAAAAATGTTACATAATGCACCTTTAAGTATTAAAAGTAATCAACATGCATGTGGCTTGTGGTGTGTTGTGACTGCATGTGTAACTGTTGTGTTCTTACTTGTGCATGACTTGTGCATGGCATTTCCTGTATTTTAAAGCCCCTTGAACCTGTTTTCTTACCTCCTCATGGGCTGCCTCACGGAGCAGGCAGCACGTCACAAGGTAGGTCTATAGGTGCCGGGTGCTGGATCCTGTCTGTAGCTGTTTGTGTTGTCATGTGTGTGTGTCTGTGTGCAGTTTGAACAAAAATGTCACTAAAGCCACTAGTAGACTCACTACAGTCACTAGCTTTCTTGTCTTGAAAGTGTACATTGTACATTGTGAATTGGAGTCAATATGGGTAATAAATGAAGTACAAATGTACTTACATGTACATGACTTTGTAGTAGAGAAGTTAAGTAGAGACATTGAAAGCTACACTTTGGAAGTGTATCAAAAGCAAGTTTTGTCTTAACAATTGAGTAGTAGTAGTAGTAAAAAGTCTAGCATTATACACAAGGGACCAGGAGTTGAGTAGTAACTGTTGTAACGTTAGGTTGTTATATAAGGCCATGCCAATTTGACTTGTTGTTCAGAAAAAAACGGGAGAAAACTTTGAAGAAAACAAGAATAATATGCGCATTTTGGACTTCATTCAAAACATGAAGCGGGCAAATCCGAGAAACAGTTGTTTGAATTGGTGAGGCCTAAGTGGAATAACATGGTGTGTTACAGGCTATGACTCCAGTGGCTTTGCCTGTAGTAAGGACAGTTTTGGCAGAGAGACTGTCATCTTGAAGTGGTGCACTCCTAAGACTAATATTGTTGGTAAGGAAAAAAACATTATTTTTTGTTAAAGCGTAATTATGCAAAAGTCATACATTGTAAGGGGGCCTGTTGTAAATAAAAAAAATGATGAAAATGAAGAAAATGTGGTAAGAAATTGTCAATATCAGATTTCCTTATGCAGACTAAGAAGAGTTGAAAATGCATTTTATTACATGTGAAGGCATCTCTGACCAGTTCTCTATGTCTCCCTGTAATAGAACTTCAGTACTGCACAGGAGCATACAGGATCACCCCTGCAGATGTGAGTAGAGAAATACTCTGCACATCCTCTCCTACAAGATAAATTGCTTTCAGAAATGTTCTTTTGAGAAGAAATTGTGAATTGAATATGTGTGCTGTGAAACTTTTTTGTTATTTCATGCATTTCTTTGATCTAAAAGATTTTGTCCTTTGTGCTGACACCAGGTTAACAGCAGACCTTCCTCCTGCCTCACCAACTTTCTCCTGAATGGTACGTACTATGCTACTTTTACCAACCCTGCTAGGATTGATATCTCCTAGCAAGTATATCACCGTATGTCGGCAGAACATACTGCACCCATACAAAACCTGTAATGTATTGTACATAGTATTACATAGGTCGTATTCCCATATTTAAGAATGACATCTAGTCATAATTTTCAAATGTTGTGTCAGAAAAGATATCGTCTGCAACAGACAAACTTCTGATGCAATGTTGACCAAACATCCAACAGAGACTGTGAAAAATCTGGTTTTTGCACAGAACTCGTTTAGAGCTCGTCTGAATTCTGCCAGCACACTCTTCTCATGTATTTCATTTTGTATTGGCTTGTATTATATATAATTTATTTACAAACGAAGTAAAAAAATAGAAAATTTTTTTTTCTGTGTTGTTCAGGTCGAGCAGTGATGCTGGAACAGCCCAGGAAGTCTGGGTCAAAGGTTATCTCCCACATGCTGGCCAGTCACGGTGGAGAAATCTTCCTCCACTGTCTGGGCACAGGAAGATCCCCCCCTGGAGGACCCCCCCTCCATCAGCGAGGGGGCCGGGGGGAGGGTCACTGACTACAGAATAACTGTGAGTTCAACAAGCATAATGTTGGGCACATCTACATGATTGTACAGGTCTCCAATACGGGTCTTCCATCTGCATTGCGATTAAAAGTCATGTAAAACAAGATTAATATCCTTGCATTTCTCAATTGAAACACGAGCAAATGCCATGCACATTTAAACCATGTTCATTTCTTGTGTAGACTTTGTGTAGATGTTCGTGTGATCGCAGTTGATCAGCACATGCGGTTTACATGGCTTTTATGCAGTTCTCAATTGCAATTTAAATGTGATTTACCCCTCTTTTGCAGAAATATGTTAAAAATGCATAGGATGGGAAGTTAGTCTAGATCTGTACTGTATAATATTATGTTGCTTTCATATTTGATAGTATTATAAGCGGTAATTTTGTGCTAAGGATTTCAGCAGTGTAGATATGATTGATGTGACACTGTTTTCTGTCCCTACCCAGGACTATGGAGATTTCATGAAGGAAAACAGACTGATGCCGTACCCTGTACCACAGGAGGGACATATCCTGCCGAAGAAAGAAGGTTAGAAGCTGTTCATAGTCTTTGTTATCTTTCCTTTTGCAGAAGAAAAAAAGTTTGTTTTTTTGCCCTTTTACTTCTTCCTCTCAAAACATATAAGGTCAATGACCTGGACCAGACAGCTGTCACCATGGTAACTGGTACTGTAACAGACGGCATGTGGAATGTATTGGGTTACATTATGTAGCAAGACAGTTGGAGGCTGGTCACCATATACTACATGTATATGAATGTGTTTGAGTAAGAAGTAACAGAACTGTAACAGTAGTTTGTTGGTCTAGACCATTTGAAGGTTCTGATACATAACAACTCTTCTGATATTGTGTTTATGTTATCTTCTTCTTTTGTACTGCTTAGCCCAATATAATATTGGATTATTAGCAGCTGCACATGTTTCTATTATCGTTGTTCAGCATCAAGTAACTTCATGCAGTTTAAGATGTTTTTTCTTGTTTCCTTTCTTCTGTAGCTACTGCCGTGTTAGAGAGAACCACCCGCTACTGGCCCCTGGTCATTAGTGACACCATCATCTTCAACATGGCTTCTGTGAGTCAGCCTATGCCTTTAATATGCAAAATTTTTATCATTTCAGTAACACTATAGCATATAGCTTGCCAAAGTTTGGTTGACTTTGTCTGATGATAGTGTTCTGTTTCCAGCACATTGATCCATTACCAACACTCATCACTAAGGCAGCACTGACAGAGGACGATGTGTTGGAATGCCAGAAGGTAGGCTGGACTTTCCACATGTCTTATCACTTGAGTTTCATTTGGATTCACTGCCTCCTTTGCATTAAGATAATGATGGTACTTAGGTTGTTCTTTTGATGATTTGTTGAAACAGTCAATCTATCACTTGGTTGGAATGGAGTCCAGAAGTGAACCCCTCCCCATACCTGCCATGGGCACCAGAGGGAAAGGACCCAAGAGGTGAGTTACATTTAAGGGTTAATGACCCGCCACAAGGTGTTTATGGTGTCATAAGGCCTAATCATTTCCTATAACCACCGATTGAACTGCCAAGGGAGTGCAGCAGTGATTGGGTCAGGTGGCATAACGGCAGAGTGTTCAGCTCAGAATCAAGAGGTCAAGTGCTGACGTGGCACCAATCTAGTGTCCTTGGGAAATGCTCTTTACATTACTTTCCTTACTGCACTCGGGTGAAAATGAGTACCTAGCTTCATTTAGCTAGGAGTCTAGGACTATCCTGTATAAGACATTGCATGGGGGTTATGTGTTTGAGGAGAGCGACACCCACCACACCACACCATACAAAAAAAGATTAGGGGCATGCCCCTGTGTGAAATGGTCCAAATACTACTAACTGGAAGTTTGCCATTCACTACAAATCACCCAGATGGAGGCCTGGCAAACCCCCATCTGGTATTAGCCACAGTCACAGTGACTAAGATCATCACCCTCATATACATGAGCCTTAGTGAAAACCGAATTGCAAAGCAAGTATAGCTACTTAAAAAGGTGTGATGCTTCACCTCTGATGAGGATGACTGACAACAATGATGTGAAGGTAAACATAATGCATTTTGCTTTGCAAATGTTATCTTTCTAAATTCTAATTCTAAATTCTCCTGCTGTACCCCAGAGATGAACAGTACAGACAGATGTGGGCAGAGCTGGACACCCTGTTACGAGCTCACGCCTCCACGTCCATCAACCACCAGAAAGTCCTGGAGTGTCTGCAGGAGATCAGGAGACCGGCGGAGGAGGCTAAAGAAAGCTCAAGGAAAGCAGGGAAGAAGGAGGAAGTGGTGGTGAAGGAAGAGAGGGTGATGACAGAGCAGAGTACAGCTGAGCTGGCCTGGCAGGAGATACAGAGGTCAGAATTTGGAAAACATGCAATAATCAATTTGTACATTGTACAATAACTAATTTGTGAAGTGGCCAAGTAGAGTGTTTGCCTTGCATTTCGTAGGTCTTGAGTTCGATCCCTGACTGAGTCATGCCAAAGACTCCAAAAATGGTACATACTGGTTTGTCTGCACTCAGCATTTAGAAAAGGGTATGGTAGATCAACACACACCACTACCAGTGGACTACCAATCTGCCGTAGTGATTGCACTACTGTGTGGCCCAAGGGAGTTTAAGGGCTATTGAAACAGAGATGGGTGCTGCCCTGTGCACCATCTGGTAACAATTGCATAAAGTACTGTTCAACCCCAGTCTTTGTGAATAAATTACATGTAGTAATCTGTCTGTACCATCACATTATGCAGATGACACGGGTAACTGAATGGGTACATGGCATCTTTAATGCCTTGAGCCAAAAAGTCTGGTTCCGTGCCCAAATTCTTACTCTGTCCAATGACACCTTCATGGGAACAACTCGGAAGCACTTTTATTCACTCTAAAAGTATCTCTGACATGTTAGAAACGCAAAATAAGTGTCCCCGACCAAGTGTCCGATAAATGGCTGTTATCATTACGTGTTTTGTTTCCAGATACAAGGCGATGTCAGAAAGAGAGAGGTCTGACTTTGAGAGAGGGAACACTAACAACGACCACTTCAGACACAGACAGCAGACTGAGTTGTCCTCACCTCCCATCAAGAAACTCAAGACTTCTCTGGAAGATTCACAAGGAAAACAACAAGGTATGTATTAAAGACATGCAAAGGTACTGTTAGATTTTCAAAGTCAATTTTCTGGTCATTTTTTATTGTAGTATGTAGTTTCAGTTGCTTCAACCCTATCCCATAGCATACTGATATGTATCTGTGATGTAAAAATGTGATGTCTGGCTGAAAAGCTCCTTGTTCTATCTATTCTTGGTGGTACCAAGAAATAAAGGCAATTTTCGCATACATGTAGCTTGTTTTGGGGCTATTTCAAATGCTTTAAGTATGAAAGGCTGACAAAAATGTGCCAAGAAATGGCAGTAAGTGTCAATATCAGAAAGATTTCTTCATCCAGAATACTTTTTATTTTGCTACACTAAAATTGCATTGGATGCCTTTAAGACACTTGGGCTGAAGCTTCTATAGGATCGTGGGAACATTTTCTTTCTACCAGTATTACTAGTACTGTAATCATAATATTGAATATTTCACTGCTAGGGTAGTGTAGAGATGCTGCCTTTACAGTACATTGTATTAACATGACCACTTCTATCCCACAGGTGGACCGCCATCCCTACTGGCCATTTGGACCAGTAGAATCAAGAGTAAATACGCCTCTCGGCACTGTGAGTTTGCAGGCAGGCTGACGGCTGAAGGGAACAAGGCTGAGCTGTACGTTAACCTACAGAAGGACAGCACCAATGGGTGGGTAAATTTGGGTACAAAATGTATATCCCAGTGTTTTAGCCAGACTGCAATTTTCTCTGTCATCTGAATTTTGTTTCACGTAACATAGTGTTGAGTGCTGAAGGCACAAGCAAGACAATCCCAGGGTGGTCAAGGGGCATACTCCCCTGGGAAAATTTCACCCTCTGAAACACTTTTCTGTGTTTTGATGGGCAGTTTTTGCTGGTAGACTTAACGTAATGACATCTCTTTTCAAATCTAAAAGTGATTTTGTCTGTCAAAGATGACACATAGGGCAAAATTTGGTAAAATTATGTCAAAGATGGATGCTGGATAGAGTCTGGTAGATTTGTTTCAATCATCCTGGGATGGGAGGATGTGGAGGGAGAGGGGGTGAAATATACTGCAGTTGCTTGCAAGTGTTGGCTTTCTAGTGTTAAAACAGTATTTTCCATTTTTGCAGGACCTCTGACAAGCCCAGTGGTGTGAAACAGGAAAAGAGGGGACCCTGATCCAATCCAACATGAGATCATTGTATAATTTTGTACAGTACCGGTACATCTGTCTCCATTTCAGCTTCAGTTTATCACCAGACATTCCACAGGAAAGGACAATGCTAGGAAACTTGTGCTGTCTATCAATCCTTTGTAAAGTATTGCACCTGCTGTATAGTAGATGAATGCCGGTACTGTTAACATGACTTTAAAACCTCAGAAGCTTGTACCCCAGATCTGTCTTAAGCCTGAGTCAAAGCATCTAGGATAAGAATATATTTCCTGCCAACAGCACTCCAGAAACCTTGTAAATAAAACTATCTTATCCATGTGTTTTTGTTTTTTTCATCTTGTGAACTACCTTAAAGTGTGCTTAGCAGTGCTCCTTTGCTCAAGGGTGCCTTTCCTCTTCTGGCTAATACCAACCTTGGTTATAACTAATTTTGGGGAGCTAAGTAGGTTTCTTTGCTAGGTACCTGTTTCTGCAAATAAGTATTACGGGATATAGCAGAGACCAGTCAAAGCAGTAGAATTTAATAGCTTGTTAAAAAATCTTTATTCAGAAAAATCTCGATTCTTTACATATCATAAAATAATCTAACTCAAATATTATTATACTGAGCAACCTGTGCTACTGGAAAAAAAGGAAATGTACAATCTAACCACTGAGGACCAACAAAATATGTACACAAAAGTTCCTTCATATCATCTTTATCAACGTTAATGAAAAAACAAGGAGCTTTGCTCTACCAGAGAGCTACATTGTAGGCTACACTATTGACAGAAATCAAAGAATGCAGTGACAGTTAACGGTGGCAAAATTGGATTTCCTCGTACAGAATATTTTTTGTTTGCTGCCCTGAAATTGCATTGAATGCCTGTAATTTTATACAAAAGTTAACAAGTCTTGGAGACTACATGTAGATTGTCTGGGTTCAATACCAAATTAATCCTGATTACCTTCAATATTGGGGAATAAAACAATGTTTCCTTCAAAATACATAAGTACCAAAGTATTGCTCCTTTCATTATTAATCATTACAAATATGCTTTCAATTCAAAGGCTAAGGAAATACCAGGAGTTGGTCATGATATGTTTCCTTTCACAGATACAACCTTGCATAGATTGGCTTATTCTATACATGTTCAAAATGTATGTGATGAGTAACATTATATACATACAAGGTAAAGGTCAACATACTTTCATCATCAATTGCTACTTTGGTCCACTGAGAGTACAAGTACTAAAATGATATCATACATGTACTTGTATAAAGTCCATTTACTTAGGTTTGTTTTAAAAAAGTCCTTTTACCAGCAAACGTGGACATGACTATGTATACTGCAATCCTCATACTATGACCCGATTTACACACGTGGGAAAAACCTGATGTATTAAAATCCTGTGTATTGAATTTTTTTTGCGTGTAACACACGAATGGTTTTCGTACGTTCAAAAGTATTAGCACTTTTCATACTGTTGAGTTTTGCCCTTGTGTAAATCAGGTCCATATTGCTTCTGCATGGGGATTCCTGTATCACACTTTGGTGTCAGCAAAGCTGAGTGGTTCAGGCAGGGGGGAGGCACTTGGTGTGTAGGGTGGCGGGAGCCTGTAGGGAGGGGGAGGCTTCCTGGGCACGGACGCCGTGTACCTGGGGGGTGGGGGAAGGGCCGAGGCCTGGGGCTCCATCCCGCTCAGTAACTCCTGCGTGTCCGGGATTCGGTACGGCGGCGGGGCAGGTCTCCGCGTCGGCAGCCGCGTCGCCGGCGGCTTCTCGTCGGGTAAAACAATCGGCTTGCTTGGCTTGGTGTCCTTCATTTCTACCTCGTCCTCCAACACGATGGGCTTGCGATTTTTGGTCAGCGTTAGCTTGTCGTATTTCGGGAGCTTCTTGCCTGATTCTTTCCTCCTGTACAGACAACAGGCTACGACTCCAAGAAGTAGCAGTATAGCTGCGATGCAGGCAGCAGGGACGACAGTTCCCAGCAGGTGGTTGGAGTGGCTGAGAGGGGCAGGGGCAAGAGTAGCGGCAGCGGTAGGAAGCGGTGAGACCACCCCAATGCCACACACGCCCTGATACCGCACCCGGGCTTCAGTCACGGGATAATCTGGCAACAACGACGTCACAAATGTAGGGTTCACTGTTCCGTCTGGGTTTAACAGCTCTGCCGCGAGGCTCTGTATGGTGGCGTTCTGGCACGTGGCGGAAGACAGGGAGATGTTGCTCCACGAAAACACCACCGAGCCTTCCTCCACCGAGTCAATGAGGATGAAGTTGGTAGTCCTGTCACGGAAGTGGGTAGAAATCTTCTCTGACAGACTAATCCAGCTGAGGATGTCCGACTGGAAAGTGTTGTAGTTAATGTCGATGACAGCAGTGAAGATGTGGGAGGGGGTGGGGGGCTGGGTGACGGTCAGTTGGAAGGCGTCCCGCGTGGCCAGGCCTTGTGAGTCGTACACAACTAAGATGAAGTGGAAAATCTGGTCGGCTGAGTCCTGAGGAAACAAACATCCAAAGATCAGTGTTCTGTTTGAGCATAATAGCCCCTACACTGTGATTTAGCCCTTCTTTACACTGTCTTTTACAACTAGTGTAGGGGTGTTTCTTTTGGAGAACAACTATTCAGAAATCTTTAAAAAAAATTAAAATTTGATTTTAGAATGTAGCTGTAACATACTAGTAACCTCCTTGTTTTGGCTTTAGAAGAAAGGATGACACAGTCACCACAACAGGATGTGTTTACAGTACTTTACACCAAGCAGAACCGGAACAACCGGTCATGCATTTAGCATAACTTTAGCCAGGAATGTTCCATTCTTGTTAAAGGGGAGTGGTTTGGACAGCAACAGTCAGAGAAGTTTTCATTAAAGACACACACAGTGTTATATGTATAACAGGGAATGTGAAATTTTTTTCTATCATCTCAGTTTTATTTGATGTAACATCAAATTACTAGTAGCGAGTGCTGAAGGGTTCAGAAGCATACGCTCCACCGGGAAAATTGTGAAATCTTGACTCACTGAAATGCTATTTCCTGCATTTTGAGGGAAGTTTGCTCTATATCTTTACATAACGATTTTTGACCATCAAAGATTTTGGAGCCAAGTCAATCATGAGGACCAAAATTCCTTCAAATGATGGAAGCACAGATGCTGGTTAGAACACTGCACACACATGAACTTTATCATGAAAGTTCATCTGTGTTGATAGTTACATGTTTATAGGTAAAACTTTTGTTCCAACACAAAAAGGGAAATGCTTTCACCTAGAGCCTGAGGAAGTCCAAAGTGACTGGTTGAAAGCTCTAGGCGAGAAGAACTAGGACCTTTTTGCGTTGGTTCTACCTTCAAAAACATGAACATTGTTTCTTACCAATGGAGGAATCCCGTACAAGGCTTGCCACTCGTGGTTCAGAAACAGCCACGTGGTTCCATCCAAGGCCACCAGCTCCAGAGTCAGCCCGCGGGTGTTCATGGCGTCCTCCATGTCGTAGAAGGTGTCGTAAGGCACGCGGCTGTAGTACACCTGTCCCGCAGACACCTGCAGGTGGTCCAGGTGGTTCACCAGCAACGGGGGCTGGTTGGGAGGAACTGGGGTGGGAGGGGGGCAGGATACAAGTTAGATATTATCGGTAGCTTTAGTAGACAGTAGGATGTTATGAATCCTTTGCTGGCCATCATAACACCAACAACCCACAAAGATATCATTCTGTCCCTTGTTGGGAAACAAAGGTTGGAACAGACTCACACTAAACAAGGGTGAGCAACACAAGCACATGTTAAAACCTCATACATACAGTATGACAACTACTGCTAAACAGGTGGAGAACACTTCTAGTTTCCATCTGTGGCTATAATGTTATGGAAGGTGAAGCAAGCAAAAACACAAGACACATGCCACCAACATTTTAGGCTCCCAAAGTGATTTCAGGGCAGTAAAACTGGATATTCTTTGTTAATTTTTTTTACCCAATCCCATAGCATACCAATATCTGTGAGGCAAAAATGCAATGCCCCCGACAGAAAATGGTTGCTTGTTTCGTATCGTAGCCTGGTTGTAGCCATTTATAGTCATGTAGCTTGCTTCACTGCCATTTCAATTGCTCGTACCGGGTACATGTAGTATGAAATGATGACAAAAATGTGCTAAGAAATGGCAGTTTATGTCAATATAAGACAGATTTCCTCAACCAGAATATCTTTTGTTTTGCCACCCTGAAATTGCATTGGATGCCTTTAAGGTACATGTACACATCACATACATCTTGACACTGAGCAAACATCCAAGAGGTGGGTTATTATAGTGTCACCATAAAACAAACACCACATAAACATGAATGAAACACTGTACTCCCTTCATCATGCTTTAAAAGTGTAACAATTGGTTTTACAGAAGTCATCCTAGATGAGGTGTTGAAGTGCAATATTAGTACAAAAAGCCTGGTCCAGGCAGGTGGTAGCCCAAATCAGTGATCAATCCTTAAGCCCCTGTCACAGTCAAATCAAACACTGCCAAACTCCCCCAACCATAGTTAGGAGTAGGTCGGGAGCAAGGTCAGCTGTGGTTGGCTGGTGTTCGATTAGGCCAGCTACTGTTCGCTTGCACCAGCCAAATGTTTAAAACATTCGGGTGTGGACAGACGGTTGGGACATGGTTGGGAGTAGGTTGGCAGTCTTTGGGGCATGTTCATTGGTATAATTTGATTTGATTTGTATAGGAAAGTAGGCATGGTCTGAATCTGGTGAGACTGCTCCCAAACTTCAGCCAACTTTGGTTGACAGGGGTTTACAGACGGGTGGTGGTGAAGAGTGCCTATTAGTAATAAGACTGACAGTGTTCTGAACTGAGAGCTGATACACTGTTAAAACATTGGTATACAACACAATGCAAAACAATTCCTCATCTCCAGTGTGAAAGATCTCTTGAGTCTGCTTCTGTGGAGTGTGACAAAAATGTGTGAAGGTGTATCTGTCTGTATAAATGTGCTGAAAAAGAAAGAAAAAAAAGCAACCAACATAATCTACAAGCATAATAAGGAAACCAAAACCGGTGCAACCCTCACCTGTAGGTGTGCTGACGCTGCTAGACACTACCGCAGTGGAATTCACCACTGCAGGGCTGGGGGTGGGCAGGGTGCTGTTAGACACTAGTGCGGCGGTGGAACTGACCACTGGCGGGCCGGGGGTGGGCAGGGTGCTTAAGGTAGTGGGAACTGTGAAAAAAATAGAACTGAGGGAACTGGCACTAGATGGAGACACCAAAGGAGTGCTGGGAGTGAGCGGGTCACCAAGGAATGAGGTAGGAGAAGGTGATGGGAGTATTGTGGGAGAAGGCAGGAATGAGGTGAGCGAGGAGGATGCTAGAGACCCTGGTACTTTGGTTGATGATGGTGCAATGCCACTTAACACTGAGCTGGCAGATGTTCTCAAAACCACACTTGGTGTGGCAAGTTCTGAAGTCACTGCAGTGGCACTACTGGTGCTAAATCTACTGAAGGTTGCAACACCCGTAAGAAGTGCACTACTTGTGACAAGTTCTGTAGTTACTACAGTTGGTGCACTACTCGTGGCAAGTTCTGTAGTAGCTAAAGTTGGTGCACTACTTGTGGCAAGTTCTGTAGTAGCTAAAGTTGGTGCACTAATAGTGGCAACAAGTCTGCTGGAGGTTGCACTGACAGTGGAGGTTGCACTAGGTACGCTTGTTGGAAACACACTGTCCGTGGCAAGTTCTGCAGTCACTGCAGAGGCACTACTTGCTGTGCTAAGTCTACTCAAGGTGGCGAGTTCACTAATTGTCTCAAACATAGCTGTAGTAGAAGTGGCAGGTCTACTGGCAGATGCAAATGCTGTAACTGTGGTGCTTTCAAACCCACCGCTCAAGCTTAGTGCAACACTAGGAGTGACCACGTCAGACTTACGAGAAGTAGCGACTGCACTGGTCGAGGAAAGTGCTGGAAATACTGAAGTTGGTGATGGCACTGGTGTGCTGGATTGTACCGCTACCGTTGTGGCAAGTGCACTTGTGCTACCTGTTGGTGTTGGGCTCGGTGTAAGACCGAGCTGTGAGGATGTGGTGGTGAAAACTGCTGTGATGCTGGGTGTGGTTGAGAGCTCCATGGAGGAACTCATGCCTGTGCTTGGTAGAATAGACGTTGACAGCTGGACTGCAGTTGTTGGCTCCACCCCTACACTGATGCTTGTCGGTTGCATTGTGGCTGTAAGAGTTGTCGTTTCAAATCCTACTGTTGGTAACGAGAGTGAAGATATTCCAGAGGTTGCTACAGTTGGTGAGAAGGAGAGAACTGGACTGGAAGGTTCCAAACTGGTGAGTGTTGGCAGAACACCTAGAGAGGAGGCTGTGGAAGGAGCCAGAGGAGCTGACATACTTGTGAGGACCGGAGTAGAGGAGGCCGGCATCAGTGTCGCCACAGGGGAAGGCGATATTCCAGTGGAGGGGGTGACAGGTAGAGAGGACAAGCTCTCCGTTGCTTCCAACGTTGGCCGGGTGACCAAACCTGGGGTGGCTGTGGGACTTAGTGTTAGGGACAGGGAGGGAAGAGGTGGGAGGGGGGTGGTGAAGAAGGCACTTGGGCTGGAGAGGGTGACGGGTGAGGCAGTAGGAATGGAGGACGGTGGGGAGAGGGTGACGGTTGGGGTCGGCATGGGCGTGGCAAATCCCGCTGCCTGTCTTTTCCGTCGCTGTTCCCGGGCGGCGGTTGACGTCACCTGCCAGCCGATGACGCCGTAGCCGAGAACCTTGGTCAGGACGCCCTCCCGCGCATTATGGTACATCACCTTGGAGAAATCCTCCACACCGTGAAAGCGGCCGCAGCTCAGCCGCCATGACAGTTCGGTGGACGACGGCTGGGACAAAACCGTGCCGATATCGACATCACCTGGCCCAGACTCCACCACGGATTCCTCTAACAGTCTAACAATGTTTGAACCGCGGTGCTTGGTCAGCCTGAAGCTCTGCGGGTCCCTCCTGACAAAGTCTGCCATCGTGACGACCAAGTCCACCCTATCTCTGGGTAAGAGGTCTTCAACGCTCACCGACAGTCTGACCACAGCCCTTGTCTCTCCGTTGTAGCACACAGCGTTACTTTGCTGCGAGTCTTCAGCCATTTTTGTATCGCTTGTCATAGTTCTCACCTCCCCAGATGAAGATTTGAACTGTAAAAAATCCCCTTGTATTGGATCAAACTTTTTCTCAAATCTTGCTGTAGATTCTGTAGGAACGTTAACGACCTCCACTGGGAATATATCGGACGAGACTAGTTTTGAGTCTGCTGACGTAGCAGTCAGGTTGATGTAGTACACCCCCTCGTCTGTTACCATGGGAACGCCATATATCGTTCTTGTTGATGAGTCGAATGTCAACCAATGAGGAAGCCTCGCCGAGTCCACCTCAGTCACCTGTAAAGTGTGAGGCACAGATGACAGAACATTTCGTTAGGTATGAAAATTGTCATATATCCCTGACATGACAGTATGCAACCAGCAAATGTATTTGTCCAAACAAGCTTAAAATTACTTTTTCCAACAAGACTCATATCAAAGACAGAAGAGTAGAATCCAGAATTCTGTCACCTTGTAGTTGCTGACAGTTGTCCCAAACATGTTCTCAGGTATCTGGTACATGAAGATGTTCCCTGCTATGGCTGTCATGTCTGGGATGGTCCATCTCAGCTGCTGTCCTGACTCTGTCCACCCTGCCACGTCCTTCCCCACCCCTTCAGTCCCTTTCCCCACCCCCATACGCCCCCTCCCCCACCCCTGCAGCAAACACAACTGGCAGCACAGAAGCGAGCACCAACACTCCGACGGCCAGTAACAAGGCACAGGGACCAACTGTCACATTCCTCAGCACCAGGTGCGCGTGACACCTGTGTGGGTGCAGCTGCGAACAGCTGCAAGTTCTCATCCCATTCCTCACGTCTGTTTCACACTCCTGGTTTTTCTTCCCAGTTGCCATGGCAATTTATATAGGCAAGCGGATGTTTATGTTGTTTCAAGGTCGATGGAACGTCCTGATTTCAGTTTCCTCTTCATGACCTTCAGGACAGATCCTGCAAAATGGTAAAAACAAATATCAAAACAACAAATCTGAGATTCCAAATCTCCTAGCAGTATGAAGTGCATAATGTTTACCATGTGCTAGAAAACAAAGAAATCTGGATCTGTCAAAGTGAAAACCACTGTGAGTTATAGCTGCAAACACACAAACACGACCGAAAACATTACCCACAGAAGGATACATGTACAGTATCTCCTTCCCCATACGTAATAAAATTGATGCTTTCAATAACTTTTTGACATGCATTAAAAGTTTGCCATCTCTTAATATAAGATACACAGTGGTATGTAGAACACATTTGGTATGCTTCATACATTCAAATAATGCATTATTATATGAAAGCCTAAAATATCATCCAGAAAATGGATTCACCTTCAGTTGTTAGCATGTCCAGTAAGAATAACACTGTTCAGTGCGACGTTACATACTGATTAGTCATAGCTACTATTTTGGGGTCGTCTGTCAAGACCTGGTATGAAAGGGTGTGGTCACTACGATTGTTTGAGTTTCATGGGTCAAAGTCTGTACCAGTATGTGTGACATTCTGTTTTTATTGCGTCCTGTTGTTTTAGAAAACATTGGTAGTGAAAACAAAAAAGATGTGTGACAGAAACCTGAAACAGTGAAAGAGAGCAGAATAAAGAAACATTTTACTACTAAAAAAGCCTGATTGCACAGTATTGGGTTGGTACAGTTGGTACAGTTTACAATGAATAATTTTAGTGTAAATATGAGTATGACTGTCTGTGACTATGTTTGTAGATTACTTAATACATTTTGTACAAGTAACTCAAATTTTTGGGAGTTTGTTATGCATCATGTTTGTACAGTATGTAATGAGGGGTCTATTCTTGTTTTCTACTTCAAGCATATACTACAGTCATGTACCTAAAATCTCGTCAACAACTGGCCACTTAACACCGAATCCACAACCGTTTACCAGTAAACACCCTTCTTGAGTTGCCCCTAAAAGTATGTACACAGTAAACCACACGACGTGGGCCATCTTATCTATCCGTGCCGATCTGTGCCGCTGGCGCCCAAACGGACACGTCGTCCCGTCATCGCTATCTGTTTTCGCGATCGTGTCGGTGGGAACTGTTCATAAAGTAGACACCTTATACCCTTAATCCTGCTTAGGGGGCCTTAAGAGTGACAGGACTGGACAATGGAGGCCTGTAGTTTTGTTACTGCAGCTCAGGTACATGGAAAGCCTTTGGTTTGACATGATCCTCGGACTGTGGGAAAGTTATACTGCCTTTCAAAGAATTAGTATTGGTTACCACAATTTCCCGCCAACATATAATGGAATCATCATCGACAAGTTTTCAAAATTGTATTTTTTGAGACATAAATAAGGGCCTGCATGCCCTTTTCATGCATTTTTTTGGAAACATAAATACATTTCTAGTATTGCCCCACCTAAATTCACCACTAAGCATTGCCAGGATCCCCCTATACATCTAGTAGACCGTTTGTTGTGATGCATAAACCTAGTTCTGACATACCCATGATGACAATATCGTTACTCTTTTCCCATCTAAAACAGGAAAGGAGAAGGATAAATCCAATGATGATCATTTCACTTCAGTTGGACTTTCCGTAATAGTAGCACGTTGGCAGAATGCACTGCACCTGCGCGAAACCCGTAATGTATTGTACATAGCATTTAGGCAGAACGTCTCATATAAGGTTGTATACGCTCATTTTCGGCAGTAGCTTCCAAATGTTATGTCGGAAAGAATATCCTCTGCAACAGGAAAAATTCTGGTGCAACGTTGACCAAAAACCCAACGGAAAACGCGAAAATACAGGGTTCTGCGCAGGCGCAGTACGTTCTGCCGACGTGCTCATAATAGTTCAGTTGAAAAGCTAACTTAAAGGTGATAGTCAGAAGAGAATCATTGAAAGAATAACAGTAGAGCTTTTGTTAAAACCATTACCGGGTATCATGCACTGATTGCTACCAGGCACTGAACAGTAAAATAACATAAAACCTTTTTATCTTACTCTTACCATACAAACCAAAGCATTGGTACATATTACTGCTATTTAACTATAAAAGTTTGATGTATTGTTACACTTTATCTACAGATGAGTGTAGAAGAGTGATACTCACCGGTGTGTGTATGTAGAGTGTGGGAACTAACGGTTGCAGTGACTCCACAAAGCTAACATGGTTCTAAATCTCCACTGGGAATGGTCTACTCTGCAGGAAGAAGGGGGAGAAAATATTAGCGACATCAGAACATTCTCTCTTCTTATTGTCACAAAATTTGATTAACATGTAGGAAAGTGAAGTAAAATCTTTAATGTTACATTGATGCTACAAGAACTATTCAGTGAACCCATTTCAAGATTCAAGGTTTCCGTACTAGTAAAAGTGTGATAATGATCACCCTACTTTCTGAATCATATGTGGTACCTCCCAGATAGGCATGTAATACTACCGGACACACTACAACACTATATGGGTCAAGTGGGGGCTGTAGGTATGTCAGTGTGGACCCAGCCCACTGTAACACTGTCTAAAACCTTAACTTCAATAAGGACTGCAGGACACAGTTACTAACAACCACCTGCCACAACTGGGTAGCAAGAAGGTTTTAGATACAGGATCTTATTTTGGAACTTTGGAACAAGAAGGAAATAGTAATGTTGATGTTAATGTTACAGTTATATCAACACGGATGAATATGCACACAATCCAGAAATGGCTTACAATTTTGTTAACTTTAAGTTGGCGTTAACGGTTACAATTTGTTATGGTTGACAAATTATAATAATGTAACAGTTGTGATTTTGATTTGTAATAATGGTAACGTTAACAGCTGTTATAGTTGTAATATGTAACTGTTAACGCTAATTGTAGACATATGTCTCAACATGAATGTTGTAACTATTATATTGTTGGTATCTTGCTAAAACATCATGATCTGTGCTTTATGCCAGAAGTTCATGATCATAATCACAAAATTCCAGGCCTGAGTAGCTAGGGTTAGGGTTAGGGTTAGCCGCGGCGACTGTTGCAGGGCTTCTCTTGCTTGCAGTCTTTTACATTAGCCTTGTTAGGGCTAATGTAAAAGACTGCAAGCAAGAGAAGCCCTGCAACAGTCGCCGCGGCTAGGTTAGGGTAAGGGTGGGACGTCGGTCTAGTGGCCCCTTAAATTTGTGGGTGGCATACACTAATACAGGAAACAAAAGCACGCATGCATGAAAGGAAATAATGATAATATGGCGAACAACAACAACACCTGGACACACCTGGCTGTACCTCCAACAACGGTTCAACCGTGTCTCATCACATTTGATGGTCTCCGTTGGTTCATTTTGTACTGGAATCACTTGTCGATTTAAAAAGCATCTTTGTACGTGGAAAAATAGCTTGATTACTCACCTGTTAAGACCGCAACACGCCTTACTAAATTACAGCGTCCCTAACCCCTTGGCACCGTTACATTTTACCTGGATACCTGACCGTCACCTGTTTTACCCAGAATGCATTCTACTAAAACCACGGTTCAAAAGAGACCTCTAGCGTTCAACATTATAAACGCAGGTTATGATCGCAGTCACTGCTGCAGTTATTCACAGAATCGATAGGGGTCAGTTTTGATCCATGAGGAGGAAGGCAACATGGCCGTTCTTGAAGCAGACGTTTGTTGTGGGTTGGAAAATGTTGCAATTCCAGCTGTTAGCGACGTAGAAGGCACAATATTGTCTGATATTAAGGTGCAGTACACAAACATGATTCACGTAGATTTGATCTAGTAAATAACGTTTAACGTTTTTATGTTTCATTTCATTATATAGGATACGAAAGGTGGAGGGTTGGTCGACAATTTTGACATTGCACTAGCACTAGCCTAATACCTAAAGTTGCAGCAAAGTTAAGGGACAGCCTAATAATGTTTATCAATAGCACATTATTCTGAAAAGACAGATATCATCTGTTTATCTTCTTAAATTGAATTTGAAGCGAATATTCTTTGTTACACAGATTTGATAGAAGCAAAGTACAAATGTAATACTTCACCTTTTCAGTACACTCCCACCAATGTTGCTGGTCCAGGAGCCCCAACAGACCCCAGTGAGATCATGTACGCCGGCTGTGACTGTCAAACTCCCACTTGCCCCTCGGACTGCCCCTGTATCCTCCGATATGGGCCGACATACGACAACGCTGGCTGCCTTCTGACAGAAGAAAGAGAAAACTTCCTCCGCTGCAAACCAATCCTGGAGTGTAACTCCTCCTGTCGGTGTGGGGAAAAGTGTTATAACCGTGTTGTACAGAAGGGTGTCTCCTTAAAACTCGAAGTCTTCCGCACCCCTCGAAAAGGATGGGGACTGCGGGCTGCTGAGAGAATACCGTTAGGAAGATTCGTGTGCGAGTACGCCGGGGAGGTACTCGGGTTACAGGAGGCAAGGAGAAGAACTCGGAACATGAAACACGAAGATATGAACTACATTCTCACTCTCAGGGAACACATCGCAAGTGGAAGGGTAGTAGAGACACATGTGGATCCTACCTACATAGGGAATGTTGGTAGATACATCAACCACTCCTGTTCTCCAAACTTGCTCATGCTACCAGTCAGGGTGGACTCGGAGGTCCCCAAACTTGCCCTCTTTGCCAGGAAGGACATAGAAGTAGGAGAGGAGCTTTCGTTCGACTATTCCGGAGAGTACGGCAACGTCGCAACTCAGAAAAAGTTACAGAAGGAAAGAGAGAAGAGCAAAGACTGTTCAAAACTGAAACCGTGCTTCTGTGGGTCTGAGATGTGTGCAGGATTTCTACCTTTTGATCCAAGTCTGTATCAAGTGCAATCAAAGTAAAGACTAATCAAACAACATCAAGATGATGACTTTTACCTAGTCATTTTAATTGGGTTTACACTTGTTTTATACCATCTTCGTCCAAAGTAGAGCCTATCTTTTTTTTCAAAAGCACATATTAACTTATTAAGCACCCATAGAGTGAAGCAACTGTTTAGTATCAGTCAACATAATCACTGGAATAAAAAGCTACTTATTTTCAAACCTGTTGATAAATTGGTATTGGTATAATTTCCATACAACTGTGTGCCCATATGTGCTACTACTAGTAAGTAAATTAATAATAATAATATCTACATCAGCAGCTATTACAGAATTCTTTGATATAGAATTGTATTTAAGAAATTTACATTCTATACCAATATGGCACCTTTCCTCTCACCAGGTATTGCACTTTGCATGATGGAATGATGTAAAAAAAACAGATGCTGACAATTTCTACATTCGTGAACCCAAGTGAAACAGTGGTACATTTTTTGTACTTGGCACTGTCACTAAAACATATTTATATTTTCTTTGCAAACACAAAACACTTACATTGCACAAAACCAACATATATTATATAATTGACCTACATGTGAAATTACAGTCACTGTGATATTGTATCTTCTTTATAATTCATGATTTGTATTGTTACTTTGCAGTCCTCAGCATTTCAATAGACATCCAATACAATATACAGGCAGCAGTGGGTGCCTTTAAAGTCATGGAAGACTTCTTTTAGAAATCTAAGTACTTGATATATCTATGGTAATTCCCATAATCTATTCTCCATCCAGCTGCTTCATTTACTGCACTTACTGTAAATCACTTATGGTAGCAAAAGTTTGAACTATACCGTTGGTGGTGGCAGATGCAGCAAAAAAGAAAGTCAGCAAATAATTTGTTCACGGTAATGATAAAATTTGCGGTACAAAAGTGACTGCGAAAACTGCGAATATGACGTTAAAAGTACTGCAAAGAAAATTGTGATTTACAGTACACTAATGAACTCTAGGGAACTCCCCCCCCACCACCCCCACCACAACCCAAGACTCAGAGCTCGACAACTTTGACCTCCCCCACCCCCTGGGGAAGTTTGTCAGCGAAACACCTGAAGCCCAGGTTGGATGCGGAGCTGTCAGGGGTGTTCTGACTGCGGGCAGCATTCCTGTACCTGTAGCAGTAGTCCTGGGGAGGGGGAGGAAAGGGTAAAAAAAAACAGTTACTCAAGAAACTCGATATGATGTGGAAATGGTCAGACATTTCTGGTAGTATCCACAGTCCAACAACCTGTTTTTATGACCATACCTCATGGCACATGTAAGATCCTCCCTTCTTCACCTTGTCATTAGTTGCACTACTGGCTGGTCCTTTCTGGAAACAGACAAGAAAAGTCATCAAGTTCCAATTTAACAATCTCCCCTACATTATCATGATTCACTATTATGGACAGATGTTGTAATGTATGCAGTGCAATGTATCCTGCACCAAAAGTGATTTCAGGGCAGTAGAACTGGATTTTCAGTCAATTTATTACCTTCGCCAAGAAGGTTATGTTTTCAGGGGCGTTCGTGTATGTGTGTGTGTGTGTGTGTGTCTGTCTGTCTGTCTGTAAACACGATAACTTGAGAAGGCCTTGATGGATTATTTTGATACTTGGTAGGTGGGTAGGTCTTGATGAGACCTCAAAATGATTAGATTTTGGGCCCCCTAGCGGCTTGTTATGGTACTGCAGCTGAACTTCCGGTTTTGATATCTCATGATGTAGACATGCTATGATGATGAAATTTGGATGGTAGGTAGCTCTCGTGCTGGGGAAGAATTGATGTGAGTTTGGGCCCCCTAGCGGCTTGCTCTGGAACTGCAGGGATATATTCTTGAAATTATTCAAAAGGGGATAACTCAAGAACCGTTTGACGGATCGTCGTGATTTTTGGTATGTAGGTAGCTTACGTGATGTTTAATATAATTATGTGACAATTATGCAAATATGGTTGTAATTTACATAATTTATGGGGAAATTCTATAAATCAGCTACATTCCATGATAGGACAATTGAAGATTGTGACATTGGTAATTAACAACGAGAGAAACACAGGAAGATATTGATTATGTTGATAATGACTTAATTTGCATAATTAATGAGAAAGTTTTATAATTATGTAATGATAACTGCCTGGAATTTCATAATTGTGGTATTTGAAAGTTTAGTTGAGGTGAACATCATTAAACATAATTTATTCAAATCAGGACCTCATTTGCATAATTTATTAGGAAATGCTAGAATGCATTGTTTGTTAATATAAGACTGTCTTTTGGTTGAGATTATGATAAAATGATATAATTCATGAAAATTAGGTTCCTATTTCTTAAATCAGGGGGGAATCTAATCTATAATTTGTCAGTCATAAAGATTAACATCATTTGGCGAAGGTATGAGATCTGGGAACTCTAGTTGGTCATTTTTCAAATGTAGTCCCTGGTACATGTACATGTACTTACAGGGTTAACTTGCAGCTCCTTTGTGTGACGAACACTCAGCCAGTCAGACACCCACTCCCACACGTTCCCTGCCGTGTTGTAAAGTCCAAACTTGTTGGGTTTATAGGACGTCACCTGCAATTCAAGAAACAAAATCAAAACCTGTCAGAAACCTGCAATGCCAAACAACATAGAGAATTTGGGAACATTCTAAGCAGTACTTCAGCCAGCCTGAAATTTTTTTCCACTGATTTTCATCCATAAGACAACATTTGTGTCCATCATGAGTAGCAAAATTCTGTCAAATGACAGAAGGACAGACGCTGTCTATAACACTGATTCTAAGACTGACAAGTAAAGACAGAAGGAACCATGAAACTCACAGGAGCTGTAGAATAATATCCATCTTCCTCTGTGTTTTCCTCAGGAAACTTGCCCTATAGAAACATTAATAACCACTGTCAAAAACACTAAGACTGATTATAACAGAATACAGTCAGATACAAATAAACTGCAGTTCTACAGTAAATTCGAATGATGGAGATTTTTATCTACCGCGACTTGAATGTCCTCACCTGCCATATGTTCATCCTGTGTTCTCCCTTTGGCATTGGGTTGTTTCCCCATGGATATAATCTGCCAGGAGATTCAAAGAGGAAAATTGTCACTGAAGAGTTAACATAACAGGAACGAAGTATGTAATACTAGTATAATGTGTAACAATCATAAGATGCAGTACTGCTAACAGATGCTAGGTGGCAGTGCATGACTGTACTCTGCAAGTACTAGTTACTTAGTACTAAGTATACCTGTTTTCCAAGCCTCCCCGGCTGGCGTACTCCCACTCTGCCTCAGTAGGAAGCCTCTTCCCCGCCCAGGTACAGTACGCAACTGCGTCGTTCCAGGACACATGTACTACAGGGTGGTCCATTCTGTACAGATACAAGCAGTTGTAGAAGGAGAAGAAGAAACTGAGCAAAAACTGTGAAGGCATAACAGTACATGTGATGTATTTCATCAAATAAAATGAGTTGTATTGGTAGTTTGTTTGAGGTAATGCAGAGACAGATATTTAGGCTGTCTGTGCTCACCTGCTGCTGATGTCAGAGTCTGGGCCCTCAGGATGTCTCCAGTCTGCACCTGGAACAGGTAACCACCAGGGGGCACCTGCCACCTGTAGGAAGGGGACCGGACATCAGACTGTGATGCCACTGCACAGTTTATAGGCCATTCACACAGAGTGACCTTAAAATCATAATTTGAGAACTTTAAGAGCTACTCAGGTACCTCATCATCATCATCTTAAGTACTGCTGAGCCCAATATTGACATTGGATTACTAGCAGCTGCACATGTTGTTATTTACAAAACAAGTGACCGGTACAAGTAAAAACAAGGGCAACTAAAGGAGTGGACACTACGGAACGTAAATAACTGAGTCTGTTGGTGTAAAGGACAAGACAGTGCATTTAGTGTGTTAGTAGGACATATATATATACATATATACAAGACGTGTAGGGGCGACTCAATGCAGCAGGGTCCTCGCCAGTCCAGATTTGAACTGGGCGAGGGACCCCGCCTCCGCCACACCAGGCTCAAGTTCGTTCCACTCTTTGATGGTACGAGGGAAGAACGAGAGCCTGTAAAAGTTGTTCCTACTCGCGATGGTCTGCAGCTTGAGAGCGTGGTTGGTGCGGCGATACCTGGTAGATAAGGAAGTTCAACAACTTACTGCTTGAGTTATTTCTCTCTTCACTTGTTCACTGATGATATTCTCCAAAACAAAGGAGTCCTGAAACTTCTCTGCCTGAAAAAGTGTGGAAAAGTGAAAATACAGGTATATTTGTAAAGTAGATTGAGGTGTATATACATCTTTCAATGGTCATCCAGGCAATTAAACTTGAAATGATACTAGAACAGTAATTAGCAACATGCATGTCTCGCTATATTTTATACAATGTACAAAGTACATGTGCCAGAGCAGTATTGTTTCCCCCCCCCTAAAAAAACAATAGGAGACAATTAAGTTGTTTGTTGACCTGTAGGTCGTTTGGCCATCTGTCCACTAGGTCAGCTTTGCGCTTTCCAAAAGTTGACTGACCTCTAGGTCGTTTACCCCAAAGACCACATACAACTTGCCTACCAGCCGTCGTATCATATTTATCGATTTTGAGAAAATATAGCAAAAATTGTATACTGGTTTAGAATAGAAGCAATTGATTCTTGTATGAGGTTGAGGCCGTGTTTCCAGACCTCAGTAACGAATCCGGCGTCCTTGACAAAGATTTCAAACTCGGCGTTGGAAACTTCGTACACATCGGCGTAGAACGAGTCGACCCGAACTCTCCTGGCCGGGCCCTCCCCGTCCTGTGGAAACCTCACGGCGTCCGTCCCCATCGTGAACTCTCCGCCGCGAACAAAAACCATCTGATTCGTCCTTGTTGCAGTTGTTGCAGAGCCGCCCTCAGTCTCTGAAGATTTCTTGTCGGAGTTTGAAGTTGCCGCGCCCCCCTCCCCCTCAGCCGGTTTGCTGTACGAGGCGGCCTTGTCCCTGCTAGTCGCTGCACAGCCACAACCTTCGTCACTGTCGGATTTACATGTTTCTTCTGGTTCCTGACCCTGTAAAAGAACGGGGAGGAGTACAAGCAGGAGAACTACAGTCCACGTGTAGCGTATGTGACACTGGAGCTGGAAGAACAAGTTTTTCTTCGCGACAGAGGCAGCCATCTTGGACCATCTGAAGGGGGTGTGTCAACTTTGACCCTTGGAAACTTGTTGCAACGAAAAATAAAAAAAATCTATAACGCTTCATGTATTAAAAAAAATAGTTAGGAGAAATGATGTCTAGCTTGAACTTGCTTGAAATTTTCCCACTGTGATTTAAATTTGGGAAAAAAATTTCCGACGAGGCGGATTTGAACCACCGACCTAAGGATGCCAGCAACAACCACTACAGTCCTCCGCTCTACCAACTGAGCTATCGTCGGATTGACGAGCATTTTCCTGAATCATAGGTCTTTGAACACTGTTTGACAAAAGACAATCTTTAAAGGTGAAATATATTATTTATGTCACGATTCCTTATGAATTTCACAAAATCATGAAATTTCATGATTAAAAAATACGATATAATCACTATATTCACGGTCGTGGACAAAATTTAAAGCGCACTACATTTCTATTCAACCAGCACCTATGATTGGCCAGATGTTTTACGATGAACCAATCAGCTTTGGCCAGAAGGCGAAAGTGGTTTATCATTCCGCCCAAACTGTAGGATATGTGATAAGGCTCGCGTAGTGTTAAATTTTCCGGATGTCAGTTGTTAGGTTCATTTCCTCATAACTCATGGCAGTGGGGGAGTGAGGAAAACTGTGTTTGCACGGCTGGTCCTGAGTTTTTTCCGTCGAAGTTTCCGCAGCTTTTGCAATTTCTGGAGCGATCGAGTAAATCCGGTGGAGAATCGATGTGCCTGCGGCGACTGTCGGGAAGTTTACCGGGTCATGAAGGCGTAGTTAGCCGGGTCGAGACGACAGTGGTCTGAAAAGTTGGCCCGCCCCTAGCTAGTTGAGATGGCAGATCTCACCGTTCATTCATCCCAAACTCTCCTGCTCTGAGGACTGTTGGTCGACTTTTACTCCTGCCAGCCGACCATGGGGGAACCGTCGAGCTTTCTCCACATCGGCGACATCGTGTCCCTGTTCGCCGAGGGCTCTGTCTGCGGCTTCATATCAACTCTTGGGTAGGCCAGATCAGCTCGATTTCTCGGTGTAAAATTGTGGGCATGGCCGACTTTTAACATGATGTTTTGTGTTTGTGTCTTGATTGTTACACCCACCAAAACCTATGTAAATTTCTCCGACCCAACATGCATGCACTTCCGTGATCGTGCTATCCCTCTCTCGTGTGTAAGTTGCATGCAATATTAAATATCTAGCTTTACAACTTGATACCTTTTGCATGTTACTGGTCGAAATCTGCACGCAAAAATACACGAAAACATTGAGTATAGAATTTCACAACATTTGTCATAAATTTTAGCGTCTGTTTTGAAATGCATACGATGCTCGTCAAATGCATACACACAAACAAACCTTGCAGATTCATTAAAAAAGAATCGTCTGGAAATTATTGACGTGGTGTTTTCTTCTTGTCCAGTCTTGTCGATGACCGCTGCGTGGTCCAACCAGACGCGGGCGACCTCTCCAACCCGCCCAAGAAGTTCCGAGGTGTGTATGTGTGTATGTACATGTGTAAATAGAGCCTCTGCAAACTGTATTAACCATATGGACGTTTGCCATCTGCGTCAAATCAGTGCAAAATGTATTCCAAGCTCTCAACCACCGTTGTAAAATGAGTTGTTATTGCCGTAATCCAACTGTGGTAGTAATAAAATCTCAGAAACTTGATGTAAAACGTAGAACACTACACCAGGCCTTCTGTTTAGCAAGGAAGTGTCCACTTAATTTACCAGGTAACCAGAGGCGCAATCTTTTGTTGTTGGAGTTCAAGGTTAACAGGTGATTGGTGGGTTTTACACAGGATATGGACAAAAGGTGTTAGATGGGGCATATTCATCAGGAATGCGAGGGTAAACAACTGTTGCTTTCACACCACATGTGCATGACTGTTGACAGGTCAAACAGCTAGGGCAGGGGGTGTGGCAGGTCATTGTGGTGAACTAGACTGGGCCATTATCAATCAAGGTTATCAGAACTGTCACATGTATTTTGTAAGATTTGATAGCAGTAACGATATAAGTTGGTCGCTAGCCATTACTAGTATTTATCTCTTCTCGTTCTTATGATATGAAGCAAGTATAACTATAATTTTTAAGAAATTGAACTCCAGTCTTTGTCAAGGAATGAGAGATCCACCGCTTCTGTGATTTCACATTTTGCAGTACAAATACAGTGTACTTAGTATGTGACTCAATGAGAAGTGGATCGTAGGTGCCAGAAAGTCTGTGGCGCCCCCCGTCATTTTCGAGGGATGCTACATGTATCTCCTTTCATCTGTATACTATCATGTATCCCTTTATTTTGCGTCCATTCCACCATCAACAATGCCTGGTAGTTGATGGTTCATATTATTTTATCCAGAAAAGTATGTTTGTATTATGTGCATCTCTGTGATTGAAAAATATTGTACAAAGATGATATATAGGTATATATTTTGCTCAGGCATATGAAAATAATGCTTACCTGTTGTATATCTTGTTTATGGCAAGTTACACTGGAGAAGATAAATAACTTCCACACTAGGTCTATTTTAGTGATTTTTCCCCTTTTCCCACCTACTGCCAATGTCATACATTGTTTGCATTGAGATTCATGTGGGCTGGCAGATTGGATTTACCCATTATGTGCAACAGGTGGGCAATCTCGTCCCCACCTCACATGATGGCAGCGCGCACGTTATGACGACTCCCCTGTAATGCCCTCTGCTACTGTCATGCAAACAGGTCTGGATTGAACCTTGATGGATCCCATTCAAACGCAAAATTAATGGGCGCTTAACCGTCTCTGCGGAGGTTATTACATGTCACCTTCCAGTAACATTCCGGATAACACCGGGCGCGGAGATTTTCCACACGTATGGGTGGGTATGGCATCTCCATCCATCTGTATCATCCAGCGTTTGGCCTCTCGGAATAATACGCAGCCTTTTGGATGATTGTAACATGCAGACTGTGTAGTGAGAAGTTGCAGCAGTGCAGGTTTAGGCCACACCAATTTAGTCAATTGGTTTGCAGATTTCCCTCTTTTTTTTCTTCTTTCTTCTTCCAGTTATCTCCATCTGTCGAGACATATGCAATAATTGACATGCCTCCAAAGTTTTCTTATTTGTGACAAAAATTTTTTCTGATCAACTACAAAATGCTTGTTAACTTTGGCCCAAAGTCCCTTGTCCTCCTAGCATTTCCATCTATCAGTAAATGCAGTGGTTTCATAATGAAATTTAAAAATTCATTGCATGAATTATAACCCATCCTAAGTATGTTCGTGGCTCCTCTCATGACATTTCAGGCTGTAACAATTTGGGCTATCATGGGTGCCTTTTTTTTAATGTTTACTGAAGGAAAATATATTGTTTTTGCACAGTTTCTTCTTCTTCTCCAAACAGTTACTGAGTAACCTCTGACCTGGTCAGTGAACTGAACCAAGCCATCTCTCACCATGGTAACTGGTGTTCGGTTATATAATCTTGCAATTTTATAGTAGGAGGGATTTAGACTCCTGTCACCATATATTTGAATGTGTTTCAGTAAGAATTAACAGCGCAGATCATATATGAAGGTAAACATTATGCATTTGCTTTGCAAATGTTACTTTTCCAGTTAATTTAATATCCCCCTGTCTCTTCCTGTATTTTTTCTTTAAAAAATCCAAGTACCAAAGAGTTAAATTGATGCGGCCTTATACTAGTAGAATGATGGGATTGTCAGTAAAGTCCCAGGTGTAGGATAGCCTGCGGATGGTGATGATGCAGATTACCATCTACGATCCAGCTAGCTGATGGTAAAACGGTAATAAGTACTACCTACATAATAAGTATTCTTGTCCTAATCTCCAAGCAGATCTTTCAGTGGCTGCTATCTGTATACTAGTATCAAGTTGGCAATACAGTATCATAATATTGTGCATAGCAGAATACATTATGTTTAAGATCGTTTCCTCATATGTAAGGATGACATCCTGTCTTTAGTTTTCAAACAGTTTGTTGGAAAATACGTTGTCTGCAACAGGCAAAATTCTGATGTAACGTTGACCAAACATCCAACATAAAACATGAAAAATTTGGGTTTCACACAGACACTGTACATTCTGCTGTTATGCTCGCCAAGAATTTTCAGACAAAAAAAAAACGCCATATGCTATATGCCCGGCCCCGTAACAGGTGAAAATCTCCTTTATCCCCCTGATAAAGCTGATAAGAACCAGGCTTTACAGCCGGCCTGTGGCTCTTGTATAGCGGTCTTTGAGCAAAGTTGAAAGTGTTTCTTCCTGCTCCCTAGGGTGGAAAATGAACAAAATCTAGTAGTGGCTATGTATAGAATCTTTCGAAAGTAAGAAAAAAATAACAACAAAACAAGCTGTCAGGTGGTCTGATAATCCATGTAAGCCCTCTTTAAGTTATCATTTTTACACAGATACACACACAAACGTAAAACGTAACTGTCTTGGCAAAGGTAATAACCCCTGAGCAAAATTTCTGCCTGGAGAGTTTTTCCATTTTCTCTTTAGTTACGCTGTGAATTTTTTTAACAGTGATGTAAATTATGACAGCTACAGTTTGCAGATTCATTGTTAAACATACACAGGAAAGGATATACTCAATTAACAGTTATGCAGAGCACTATCTTATATCTAAACCAGATGCACTCTTTTTTTTTTGTCAATGTAAGAATCCAGCTTTCCTCCCTGCAGTTCAAAATCAATATAATGTTGACCTGAAAATGACTGAAGACTCAAGCTTTTCATGTGGAAACTTGACCTTCGAACCAAGCTGACTTAATCACCAGTTTGAGTCAGCGAAGCTTGCAGTTGTAATTGGCTTCATTATCCACTGCAGTTTCCCCATTGGTTTGTCATGATTGACCCAATCTTCTCTATAGAAGTCAGGTAATGAAACCAGGGTGGACCTTGAATGAGGTTAGGTCAGGTAAAGGTGGACGATACAGTGATCTCGCCAGGCCTTTAGAGCATATAGAGGCCCCCTATGCTGTGATTTGGACCCCTATGCTGTATTTCAACCAGCGTAGGGTGTTTTTTGGGGGGTGGGTAGAACTAGAACTCATAAATATTGCAAAAAACTAAAATATAACTAGAATGAAGATATAGCAAAGGGAAAACCTTAACTTCACAAATTCTGTCGCTCAATAAGCAAGAAGAAATAGTGTCGCAGGTAGAGCTGTGTACCGGTACGCAGTACCGATACTGTACCGGAAAAATTGATTAGGTACAGGTCCAAAATACCTAATCCCTCAGTACCGGTACTGTACCTAAACAATTTCACACCAATTTTATGCCTATTTGTGACCTCAAATGTGTAAATAGCTGGTTAACAATGGGTCCCTGTGTGTTCATGAAAACAAAAACATCTTTACTTTTACATATATTCTATCTGAACATTCTCCATAAACAAAAATTAAACCTATATCAATGTTTTTCTAGTTATTACAGGAGTTCAGAAGAGCATATACATTGGTCGAATTGTTCAGGTACAGGTTCAGGTCCGGACCTGTACCTAAACCTGTGTACCTGTACCTGTACCTGTACCTAAAATTTGTTTAGGTACACAGCTCTAGTCGCAGGTGATTATGAGTTTCTAAATTTTTCTGGAAGAATACCAGACCCCCTGGTGTGGTCATGTTTTTGGGACTCAAAGTGCGACTTGCGCCATGTGAAAGTTGCCCTTGAATATACTTGACCCCTGTGCTGTGAAAAAATCCTGGTGAGAACCCTGCGATATCCTTCATTCTTGCCTGCAAATTACCCACAAGAAGGTGACTGATTCTCTGGCCGAAGTCGAGCCTGGGTCTCAGTGATAAGATGCAAGAAAAGGCAAGGACTTAGCAGAAGAAGATACTGATCATGCATGAACCAAACGGTACGCTTCTTTGTATCATGGTGGACTTAACAGACCAAGAGGCTGGATTTGAGTGCTAATGAAATTTGGGTAACGTGGTGGCTTCTTTTACCTAGCTGTTTCATTCAACAAAACTTTGTGCTCAAACTTTAGCATACTTTTTCCAGTGAAGATGATGCGCATTCACAGGGAGTGCACAAAGGTGCCCCCATAAGGTAAGGGAATAAGGAAAAGATAACGTATGGCTACTGCTGAAGTCCTACAGTGTAGCCTGGGTGCCAGACTGTTTTCAAGGCCTACACCGGCCGGTTCCTAGGCTCCAGGGCCAACATACTGGCCTGGTGCCAGACTGTTTCCAGGGCCTACATGGGCTAGGTCCTCAGCTTCAGGACCCACATGCTAGCCTGGGTGCCTGACTGTTCCCAGGGCCTACACAGGCCAGGTCCCCGGCTTTAGTGACAAACATGCTAGCCTGGGTACCAGACTGTTTCCAGGGCCCGCACAGGCCAGTTCCTTTAAGCTCCAGGGCCAACGTACCCCCAAGAAAATTATGTCACTGGCCCCCTCAGTTAGACCCTGATTCACATGCTGGCAAACTCTGGACTAATGGCTTGCTCTGGGTCTGGCATCCAGGCTA